CTTCGTGTTGTCATCAAATTGTTACAGGCTGATATTTAAATTTACTTTCCGGTCGTTGCTAATATACATAAACCCACAACACAGTTGCTGGCACAGTTTTGAAGACGATAAGTTATAGTAGGGAATACAGAATTACCGTAAGCACAATTGCCTAACAAAGGTAGTCACTGACAGTTAGACCGAATGGTCATTTCGCGGTTATCCTGTCCATTCTGGGCAAAGTCATGAATATGTATATATATTTTTTCAATTTTGCTTTAACTCTGTTGTGCCCGTTTGCCTGCATGGATGGCTAATAAAAAACGATTTGATTGATTGATTGAATTATTCGTGATTATGATTATTTTAAGTTACAGTTTTTAATCGTTATAATTTTGATACTTTAAGAAATCATATAGCACGGATAATATTTTTTTGAGATGCAAAGAAATTTCAAAATAACGTAACACACGCATTTAATAGCAGGTTTTGTGGTATTAATCATGATAACAAGTAACCTATTTTAAAAGATTCAAATTCCGTTTACTAAGACAATTCAGGAAAATGTAAAATGCCATAAAGGTCCTAGATCCTCAGCTCTAGCTCCTTAAAAGACGTTGCACTATTGTAACTGACATTTAGTACATTCAGGAACCCATTGCTTTAAACTTTTTAAGATCCCTTGTATTAGATCTGTTCTTGATTGACTGTCGAGGCTGAAAATGCTATTAACGCTGATGTTGGGACCAATTGAATTAATTTGAATGCGAGATACTGAGTCCGCGACAGTATTAGGGATGCCTTCAAATGACTAAGATCATCAGTATACTCGGAATTTACGGTAACTTCAAACGCCGTGCGTGTCTAGAAACAAATCTTTTAGTTGAAATGTTTTATGGCTCTAACAAGAGCATCGTTCTCTATGTTACAAGTTAAAATTTCCGCTGTTTCGACGGTGTGCTAAAATGAATTATTGCAGTGTACGCTGCTAAAAGCTCAAGATCAAATGCGAAGTAGTTGCTTGTCCTATATTGAATGGTTTTGAAAAAGAGGTGACCAGTATTATTTGGATGGACAAGCAATATTCCAGATGCTATTTCTGAATTAATCCTTTGTAACGACTGACGCGTGTTCGTGCTCTGACAAAATAGTAGGGTTACTGGTTCAAAAATCCCTCAGAGCAGATAAAAGCAGCCTTGATGATATGCTTTCGAAAGGTCGCATTTGCTAAAATATTGTCAACCATGAAATTTATTAGTGAAATCACGCATGTGGTGAATAAGGTTGCTAAGTATGACTACTTACAACTTACAAGTAATCGATTCTTATCCGATTCCTAAATACCTCAGAACCCACAGAGACTTTTAAAATAAATAGACTTCAAAGCCTTTTAGCGATAAACACACACACACACACTATATATATATATATATATAGTGAAGTTTACGGCGTCGTAGCAACTCAGCATAGCAGTAAAGCAGTTTTCCAATTCTAGTCGATTCCGCGGAGAATCGATTCTGTAATCGAATCCAGACTCGTTTCCGCCATCCCTAGTGAGGAATCGATTGTCTGTCTGTAATCGTATGATTTTATGGAGCTCTATAGTCAACGCAAATTCCCACCTCATCGCTAACCTTTTTTGGTACAATCTATGGGAGACGAATAAAAGGAAGCGGAAGGAGCTGTTTCTCAATATTTTTGTAAGTTTTTAAGTTGGTCCCTGACTTTTTGACGTAAATAGAGCGGGAAAGGTGTAGCTTTAGAATGCACTGGTTGCCCGGTTGTAATATTACGGTGGATCGTGTTATGTTTCGCTCTAACATCTGTCAGGACGAAGCATGAAGTTGAAAGAAATGAAGAGTTCCATACCAAATATAGGGGTATTAGAGTTTGGGCTGAAGAGGCGTGAGTTGCGTAAGTAGACCAAAAGATCGTGTTCTGACAAAAAGTCAGCTCCTAATGTTGGCTGCGTAACACGTGCTATTCAGAAAATAAAAAAATTTGTAATAGTTTCATATATTGAAAGAGTCAGAACTTGTTGACCCTATCACGTTATTGGTGTATCGTTGGTCGAGAACGTTGCAACTTTCAAATGTGGGGGATCAAAGAAACTGTTGCTCCTGTATCAAAAGGAAATTTTCGACCGCCTTTTCTATCAAATAGCTAGAGAACGTTTGTGTTAGAAGAACTGGAATCAAATTTACGAACTGAATTTATATGTCGCTGTGATGGTCTTTACTACGCCCTAGGCAGAAAAAATAACCTCGTTTGCAAAAGGTAACGAGCTGGACGCAGTCGCGTGCTGAATTCCCATAACGCTGATAGTACCAGCAGGACGTTGTAGTATTGGATAAAGATTGGTGATTGGAGTGATTGACTTTGTTATTACTGCCCCTCCCATAGGAGAATTGATGAGTTTGTGCATTGGGCGACGACGGTTTCATAATATTCATGCTTGGTTAAAGCATTAGAGCCGACAGAAGTAGGGGGCGTATTCGCAAGACAAATGTGTCGAATTATGTTTTTATACTTGACATGATTGAGATAACTTTGACATTGAAAGAATGAATATTGTTTTCAATACAACAGTCAGGGTTTGACATATTGTTGTGATTAAGAATACTATTGTGAAGGTCTTCTGGCGAACCTACTAGCAGCTCTAATAACCCATTTAACGACGGTATTAAACTGTATATAAACCCCATTCCAAATAGGGTGCAAATAGGTGCAAATACTAGATAGAAAGGTTTGATGGTAAATATGGGAAGTATTCCAAACACTGCACGGTATATCGAACGAACACTGAAATTGGTGAATATTCAATATAGTATGCGTCTGAATATTCATTCGTATCGTTAATAGGTATGAGTGTCTGATATTATATATAAGCCAAACAATCTAATTTTGGGCCGTGGCATTATTTTGTTGAGATATCGGTTTCAACAGCAACCTCTGAGCATTGAGAAATACCTAGAGGCAGGGGCGGATTAAGCCTCTTTAGTTCCCTAAGCACTGAAGACTTTGGTGCCCCCTCATGTGTAATTTAACTATAAAAACAATAAATCACATAAGTGTATTACCCAGTAAATAAAACAACTTTTACGAACATTTTTAGGTTTTTTAACGGTTATATATAGCCGATATAAATATCGGCCGTTTACTGCCGATATTATATATATGCAAACACGCAATATCGGGCCGATATATCGGTTGAGCTCCACTCCTGTGGGAGTGTGACAATAAAGATTCATGCCTCCAGTCTCAACGTGAATCGAAATACCAAAAGATACAAGTCACAACTGTAGTTTGAAATTTTACCCGTACCTGTGGGTGGCGTTCGTTTAAAAAAGATATATAAAGCCTTCAGTTATTTTAAAGAAAATTCCCGAGAATTACTGTTGTATTTTGCGCATCTCGCGTTTAATGTCGCTTCAAATTATATTCTTTCGTGACAGATATTACTTATAAATCAAACCAGACACTGCGTGATGGGCAAGGAAATACATTTCCGCCGTGTTCTCTTATGTCACCTTTCTTGCGACACTCGTTTTATTACGAATCATTATATTGAGTAATTTAAAAACTTGCAGCGTGAACAAGCTTAGTGACATCGTCAAATACCAACCAAGTCAGTCTAAGTTGGTTTTTGGGACCTAGCTAAAAAAACTGCATACGCGCCGTTAAGTCGGCTCTGCGTTTCGTCACTACTGTCACATGGCCGACGCGAGTGTTTTTACTAAATTAAAGGCACAAAGCGTTAGAAGAAAGGTTTGAATTTCGGGATCCCAACCCCATCTAAAAAAAAACTCAAAAACGTTACTCTATTAGATACAAATATACGCTAAAATTGTTCTGTGAGCCGCACGGAATGTATCAGCATGACAGAGTTTGGACCACCCTGGTCTACCTTATCAAGAAACTCCGGACTTTGCTGACCAATATATCGTTGAAATGCGATCGTGGAATCGCCACATAGTGTAAACAGTTCATTGGTCCGATTGTTGAAGCGAATAGAAATTTTTTTTAAATAAAAATGCAGCAACAAGGTGAATACCAGAAAGAAAAAACAACAACAATTTGAGAAAACGACTCATAGGCCCATTTCGTGTCCAATAAATAAGTTTCAGTGTTTATTTTTAGTGAAGAAGGTTAATATGATACTTGGAGACAAAAACTAAGCAAACATTTTGAAGTTTGAGTCGTCTGGTGAACTCGTAATACTTTAATAAATACCGATAAACTATATAAATTCTGCTCTAAAATTTCTGTGATGCCCCTCTTTGCTTGGTGCCCTAAGCACGTGCTTATATATATTGTTTAATGGTTAATCCGGCGCTGGGTGGACATCAAATACGAGGTAAAATTCTCTCCCCGATAACAACGAACTTCGTCGCGGGGGAGGAATTCCTTTCCGTAAAGGGAAATGATGTGCCCTATAGTCAGGGATTCCATCGATCTGGATCCAAAAATAAGGACCACTGGAAAAATTCCTGCATTGTGAGCAGACATAGCTGGCTTTCCTATGGCCTCCAGGTTAACGTCACAATTACAGATGTCACAGTGTACGAAGAACTCGCCCTTCAAGCTTCGTTTAACTTTGAATTCTTTCCCGTATTCATCACGAAAAACATTTTTACGTTTGCTCATTTTTAAATTTAAGCTAAAATCATCAAATTGGTCTTATACAAAGAAGGCTATAGGATATAGATTCGGATGTAACATATATACTATTAATATGAATAATAATATAGCATTATAATCCATCCGAAAGATGAAATTCTGAAAACAAGAAAAATACGAATTAACGAGAATATCGGTCAGAGACCGAAGACTTATCGATCGAAAGTTAGGGGATCCCCAAAACAGCGCTCTTACTCCATAGTAACACCTTGTGTCCCATCACTAATTAATTAATAACTCGCTAATTATACGACATAATTCATCCAAAATCAATAGGCTTCTGGTAAGACATATGATGAATGCACATGCAAAATCTGAAGCAGATTCAATCTTGCTTTCGTGAGATATCGCGTGCATCTAACAGACAGACAGACAAACAGACAAACAAACAGACAGACAAATACCTATCAACATACTTACCGATTAAAATCGCTAAAAGTAATAAGAGACATTGGTACGATATTGTGAAATGGCTTAGTTAGACGAGAGAATCTAAGTCGGTTAATGAGAGAAATAAAATACGAAGACAAAAAAATATATTCCAAAGGGTCTCTGTGTCGCTTTAAAATTCTTGTCATTGTGAGAATGGAATAAGAAATTGTATGAACATAGTAAAACAAAATGGCGGCGGCACTTAAAGGGAAAGACATGAAATCACGGCAAAATAGTTCTGATATTTAAGATGGGGAACTTTACAAAAATCAAAATGGCGGAATGGTGCTTAGGAATTTAAATTGAAAATGGTTTGGCGTTTAAACTGCAAAATTGACCAAAGTGGTATTAGATATTGTTTTGAAGCAAAATACCAAGTAAGAACAAATCCTGTAAATTGAATAATGAGTGTTTAAGACGTATTATTGAATCCTTGAGATTGAACCTGTATCAATTGCTGTATGAAGTAAATGAAACTCGTGATATCTAAAAACAATACATTGATTAATAACAAGTAATCTCACATAAAAGAAAGTACTGACACTACGAAACTTTTTTCTGCATGGCTTCATAACTTCTTAAGTTTTTATAGTAAAGTTTTTTGATGTTTTGAAATTGAATATATTAGGAGAAAAATGTAAAATACAAGACGAATATTAAAACGAGGCGAAACATTGCGAGATACACACTCACTATATACAATTCGCAACGACCGACGGAACCGAGTTTGCTTCAAAAGATTCAGGGATAAAGTTTGTTACAAGTCAAACTTTTGAGTCCAGCTGAGCTTGGGTTCTCGCTTCACTGCTTTGAGAAAAAGTAAATCTCACAGTACGATGGTGATGTAAGGTCTAGGCAGCTGATCGATTTTGAGCCTGATCCTGTACAGAATGCCAATAATCTTTTGCAATCATAATATTCAAAGCATCACACTTTTGAACTGATGTTTGTCGCATTGTGGGTCACTGTTGAAGACTGCTTCAGATTCAAATATTTATTTCCGTCGTTATCCTCCAATCTGAAGCAGAATATTTTCTTAACAGCAATTCGGAATCTTTCATCCCGAAAACTGTATATTATTGGGTTGATGAACCTGAAATTATATGAATTGATCAGTACTGTGATCCAGTAACCACTGAAAACGTGATGATCTCAAAGGGTCGCGATCTTTGTCAGATAGCATGTGTCATATTAAACCGAACGTAGGCGGGTAAACATAAATTGCCATTAGCACACCATTTTTCACATTCTGTGCAAGGAATAATGTGGTCACGGAAGCACAAATTACATTTTTGTGATTTTTAAAAAATAACGTCTTGTTTGTCTAGCAGCTTAAGAAAGTTAAGTTCGATTACATTTTTTTATTATATATATCATGATGATATGAATAGGAGTTAATATTCGCAATAAACAGAAAACAACAATCAAAAATTTCCGGACATTGACAGAACAGTGAAGATATCAGTTCAGTCTCTCAGTCTTTAGTCAACGCCGGTTATATTATCAAAAAATGGGAAGAATACAAAAAAAAACGAAGTTTGATAAGTTGGCCGGCGATTAAGATATAATCAACCCAGAACTACAAAAATTGCAATTTTATTATCTGGTAACAGACATCTCCGTAAGAATTGATGTTGAAAATTATTTGTTTGTACCACTTTGTTCTGGGCTATTTGTGGAATTGAAATTGACGAAGGTATATTATTACTAAATAAATCAGTCGCTACACGGAGTAAACCTTGCTGGTAAGCAGGGGTGTCCAACATAAATAGACTTGACACCACAACATTTAGATCATTTTTCGCCTTAACGATTGGCTAGGACCTAGCCGCTAGGTCTTGTAAATAAATAAAAACATCCTACCCGTTAGCGAGACCAACGTAGAACGAAACAGTATACGGAGTCGTGTAGTTGTTGCAGTTGAAAACTCCCGCCACGAATAGGAAGAGCACGATTCCGAAAGGCACTGAAGAAGTATAAAAGTTTTAAAAACATATTGTGTTCAATTTTGTATACATTCTGTCCTGATTGGATCAATTTGCAGAGTTAGCGCATCCTTTTCTGCTAATTATTGTCGAAGTTGTTACTGGGCAGTGATTAACATTATATGAGAATGTTTTCCCGCGTTATATGAAAATATTTTAACTGTATACATGTATATCCCATACTCGTGAAAATGACTCGTGTTGTGCATGTCCTGTACTATCAAATTTTGTATACGAATATTAAATAATTTCATATTATTATAATACGAAGAAAAGTATTGATATACAATATAGACAAGCGAAGAAATCTAGTAAAATAAGTTTTTCTCCCTACAAGTCGACGTCAAAGTCAAGCAATTGCATTGTTATATTTATGAATATAGATTCATGTAAGACCTGGGTCGCTCAGACGTGGAAAAGTAAATATTGATTTTACCCGATGAGTAAAAATATTCGTGGCTGAAGTTTTTTATTATATATCAACTACAATAAAATGCTGATTTCTGCAAATTGTCCATGTAAAAACATAAATAAATTTAGCGAGATGAAGCTATGTTCGAAAACATTCAAAAACTTACGTATTGTTACTGTGAATCCCAAAATCATTATGAGAATGGTGATGAAAACCGATACTTCAGGTCGTAGCTTATCTGAGGTTTTTAATCTGTGTTTAGTTACTGGAATGGCTGACACACCTGTCGATGCGCTGGGTTTTCCTGAAGTGGCGTGGAACGCTCCATCGGCCCCAAATGTTTTTGCCCTTCTTGTCAATTTTTTGTACGATACAATACCGGTCATGATGCACGCCACACACTTGAAAAAAGACAGAATTTTTTTGTTACCCAAGACTCATAAAAAAATATAGGATGTTACTGAAAAACAAGATTGCCGTCTCAGTGAATTATTAAAACTACTTTCACTCATAAAATTTATTGATAGTCATGTGTTTTTTGTGCGAGGCGGCAAATATGCGAAATTTACGACGTTTCATGTGCAATAAAATTATGACCACATGTACATACGAGTGGATTAATCGACTTCGACCAGTTCACCAACATATTCACAACATATTATAACGAAATAGTTTTCGAATTGTTTTGTAGAAAATACTCTATTCTTGCTTTTTCCTTATAAGCTACCAATGTACAATGCAACGGTACACATGATTTCTCTCGATTTTCATTATCGATATAAAAAAATCGAGTAATGTTTTCTGTTCCAAATCTTACCATTATTGTATATGGCAGAATCATTGGAATTGCAGTGTATAATGGACCATGAATTCCGTTTACTACTTCTCCTGATTCTTCAGTTATTGTTCGCAGCGTCACCATGTGTATTAATAAAGGTGGTTGCAATTTGTATTCAAAATATTGAGAAAAAGCGGCTGAAATTAATTACAAATACAGAGTTACCTATTATATTTGTCAAAAGAAATTACATTCAAATAATGTTTAGAAAGCAAACAATCACTGTATTGATGACTTAATACAATAATATTCTATTACGTCTTTTATTGTATACACGGACCTTCCTTCCGTATTTAGAAGTAACCAATACTCAGGATTTCATGGAAATATATGAATATACACAATCGCTTATAAATAACTAATATTTATTACCTGGAATAAAAGCGCATAAAATTGTTGTTATCCATATTAAACTCAGAGTGATAATAATGGTTCGAGTTCTCCGCAATAAATGCCAAAATGACCACTTGATGGCAATAAATCGTTCGATAGACAAAAACATCAGATGAAGAAGAGAGGCCTGAAAATTATTATCACTATTATAATTATGATTAATATTCATTAATACACCTGTTTGAACGGTGGTTTGTTGATTTGTATCCTTGTCACAGAAAATTATGATACGTCCATGTCGTTCCAGTTACGACGGGTTGGTTAGATTGGGAAAAATCAGAATGTCCAACCCAGGGTTGTCCAACCTTTATGGCGGAAGGGCCACATGTAATTTACAAATGATTGCGCGGGCCACTTGAAATGGTAGTTATGCTCCCAGTTTTCACTACACCGACTACAGGTTAATAAATAAAAAAAAACTCATAACAAAATTATAGGAACAATGAAAATACGAAGATACAGTGAAGTCAAAAGTTCCTACCACACATAGATATTTCAATGTGAAGTATGACACTGCTTTTATCCAACAAGTTTGTCAATATTCGATGCGATGAACGATGTAGCGATGTAATTAGTGATCTTATTGGGTATTTGACATGGTTCATCCGTGAAAAACTTTCTCGTACAAGAAATTGCTGTCAAATATTGAGGTCATGAAAACTGCCGCTTCTAGCTTCACAGAAAAAAAGGCAGAAAAACAGATTGAAATACATGGGAGACGATAAAAATAAATTCAAATATCTCTCTCCAGCAATAACGCCCACAAAGAGACTTAAAAATACTTTCGATAGCTGGGTAGTGCTTCTAGCGCGTTTGAACGACGAGGAATATTTTTTTATCAGAGGTTTCAATAGTGGATCAAATTTGTGAAATACATCGGGCTTCGAATAATACCGCGCTGACTACCCAAAAACCTTCGGCTGGCCACATGTGACCCGCGGGCCACGGGTTGGACGACCCTGGTCTAACCCGTAGGTTCTCAAAAAAGTTCCTTAAGCAAAGCCTATGGGCCCCACGCGCTATTTGTTTAATTATTAAAATCAGGTACATGAATCCCTACGTACCATTGTGTTTGCTTGTTTCTATTTTTATAAATGTATAGTAGGGCTCCGTAAAAAATTGTCAACCTCTTCGCAGGCTTCATAGCACCAAAAGTTTGAGAACCCCAGATCTAACCAATAAGGTCTTAGCGATATTCACAAATTGTAGTACATATAGTAGGCTACCTGTCCCGACATGTTAACCAAAGATCCGACAATGATGGCTACAGAAGAGTTTGTGTCTTTCTCTAGAAGTTCTACTACCTTTTCCTCGTTGTATTTTCTAATCCAAACCGTGTTTGGAATAATGGCGGTCAATAGAAGAAAACCGCTCAACATGTCAGCAACTGATAAAGAAACTGTAAAAATATAATTATATGTATCATCACTAAAAGTGTTGCAGGAAATAAAATGAAATGCAATTACTATGATTTCTTTTTTTTTAAAAGTTTCAACCATAATTATTTCACTCAAATCTTTGGAAATGCTAAATTTAAATTGTACAGGATATCAAAGCACGTTTTCAACTAATAGCAAAAATTTAAATAACCTATATTTTGCACTTCACACATTTTTGTGTCACTATTTCTTTCGGGTGCGAATGAAATGCCTTGTCATATAGAGACATACTATAGGTCAACTATAGGTCTCGTCGAACGGTGATTGGTCGCGTGACGCGTCACGTTTGGATTTTTGGAGTTTGAGAGTTGCGCGACACTCCACTGAAATCTCTGGACTGCACACATTCGGACGCACTAGTAAAGTCACTTTTCTGTTTTATTGCAATCTTTATATATGTTGATTTTGTTGTTGTTGTTTTGAATTGAAAATTGAATGCACAGTCGAGAATTTCACACGTTTCAATTAGAGACTTGAAAAGGATATTACCATGAAAACGAGACATGTGTGCGAAATTTATGAGAGTGCAATTGAAGAAAAACTTCAATTCTGTGCACACGGTAGATTATGTTGTAACTATTTGACAAATTTAAAATACTAACCTTTGATACAATCATATTGTGTTCTCATGTCAGATCTTTGCCATACAACAATGGGCAGCAGACAGTTAAGAAAAATAATTGTCAATCCAAGTACAACAACAAAAAACACAAATGCTATCATGCCACCACGTTCCTCGCATAGTGATAAAGGCTGCGTAAAATAGTCTAGCTCGTGACACGCGATTCTATTATAGTAAACTGGGTATCCGCACAAGGAATCCACTAGAATGGTTTGGTCATCTCTAGACTGATTGTTAACGTCGTTCGTTTGATTAGATGCTGGAGTTGTGGCTAGTATGGCCCGTGTAAACATCGGAGGTGGCCCGACGTTTAACATCTCAGTTTGGTTTTCAAATTCTTGCAGAACTGGTAAATCTAAAGTGTTGCTTATCTCCAATTGCATGGAACTTGTCACGCCTTGGGTATTTCGTTTTATTCGTCGTGTCACCACAACCGCCGGTCGTACTATATGGAGCAGACTGATAGGTTTAACAGAATTCGGGGGCACAAACTTTGTAGGCCCACTCAATTCTGGCGATGCCGGCTTAGAGAATGTGGGTGGTACTGTAGAAGATATAACTAGTCGTCTGGTGGTAACAGGGACTCCGAGTGTCGGTTTGACAAAGAAATTTGTTGTAGTGGTGGTGGGAGTCGTTCGTTCTGTATTGTATTCAGTTTGTAGCGTTGCTGTCACAGGTGTGAATAGTATCGCGCGTTTTGTAGTGACTGGCACTTCAGTTTGGCGCACTGTTTGATTTGGCGGAAATTGTATTTTGCGTTTCCGGATTGGATCAATGCCGACATTTTTATTGATGTCCAATTGCCGGTTTCTGTCTGCGAGTTCCAGTTTTTGACAAGTGATGCATGTACACAACCCCAGTAGGATTGTGAACAATAACCCAGACATTCCTTTCAAAGTATGTTAGTATATGTACGATAATTGTTCTAAAATACATAAATCGTGGAATCGAAAAGCCATAAATATAAATATTAAAATGAAATAATCAGAGTACAATCAAGATTCCACAAATAAAGTACATGCTATCCAAATTTTTTGTAATCACACTTCCCAGCAAGTACAACATAGCGAAAAATCAGCTATATCCTTCTTCAAAAATACCAAGACACTAATTTGTGGATATATTCAAATTATGATAGCAATTCTAATTTTTACATAATATTGTTTGATGCATTGAAATCCTCCGACCCCATCCATCGGGCAAAAGCAATATTCCACTTTTTATACAATAAAATGCCTATAGAGCTATTTTACACTAACTTACTAACTAACTCGTAAGGCCTCATCTGCATTTAATTATACTGGTATCCTCCATCTTTTCCTTCGAATTTGGCGTTTCATCATATTATTACGTTAGTGAATTCCGGCACTTTATACACTTCCTCGTTCCTATTGTCTGTTTTACCTTATGCAGTACTAAGAATTTAAATAGCTTTTAACAACGTTCGATTACCCTAAATTGGTATATGAGAAAACTGCAAATAAGGAAGTAGATCAGTCATCTCTCAGTGATTCCTATCAGCGGTAGAATCAAAGAGGTTGAACCAGTTCACAGAACATATTACCAAGTAAACGCTGAAATTCCTATGATGGCTTTAGATAGCTCGCAGACAGACGTATTGAAAATAAAGTAGATGAATTTAGTATATATATGAGCAAACCCAACGTGCAACTCGACGTGCGTCGCTTTATATTCAGACGTCACAATGAGCAATATTTGTATGATATTATTGCCAGTCACGTCAAAAAAAAAACGGAAATTTTCGGATTTTCGAAACAAAATAATTTGCTGCTTCTTCCCCTAACCCAGGGGTCGGGAACCCATGGCTCGCGAGCCATATATGGCTCTTTTGGTGACGGCATATGGCTCCCAGAAAACTCTATTATTCTAAGATTAAGCTTACTATTGTTACTAGACTTCAAACTATTTTATGGCCAAATTTGGCAAAAAATTCCCAATACGTTTGACAACGCGGGCCCAGCGCATGTCTATGTTATGTAAGAGAATTACCAGACAGGCATTGTGACAAAACATGGGGATTCTGGAACATATATTGTGACATCACAAAGCGATAGAGTTTTAAAATACTACGGAGATGCCTAAACGAAAAAGGGTGATGACTATCGTAGATTTAAACTTGGGCTGCATGTGAGCAACCGTTCAAGGCCCGCGACAACATGCAGCATCAGAAGTCACATTAAATGTATATTGACATGGAATGTGTTGACTTTTGAGTAAACGTTTCAGGCCTGATTAAGGGAAGAAATGTTATATGGCTCGCACGGAAATGCAATTGAAAATATGTATATTTTAGGGCTCTCTTGACCAAAAAGGTTCCCGACCCCTGCCCTAACCGAACCTCCATTTACTTTGTCACGGGAGCAGTCTAAAACGTTCTGCATATGCTTCAGAAGTGCAAAAATCTGAACATCACCAAATCCAGTATCAGACTCAACGGTAGAACGAAACTATTTGCACTCGGTATAGTGAATGATGATAGTTTTTCACGTCTAAATCTCAATTTGCAAACGACCATCGGAGCGTTTAGTGCTACAAGAATTGTTGTATTTACATTGACGACGTAAAGAGCTGTTTTAGATGCTCCAACAAATTCAGATTTATATATATAGTCAAAAATGACCAGTTTTGCGATGTCTCACATGCGGTATATTTACACGAGATGACTTTGTAAGCGACAATTCGTCATTTGCAATAGTTCAATATTTGAGCTACAGCACTGGATCCCAATCCATTTCAGTAAATTCCTCTCTTTGCCTATTTTGGAACTCTTTATTCCCCCCACTGTGCATAAAAACTCTACTTTAGGTATTTGTTCAATCTTTAATGAGCATTTAGCTGGTGTTAATTAAACACAAGTCACACTTTGGCTTTTGCGTGCTTTAAACAATTTATAATCTATTCATAAATACGCATCACAATATTGCTAAATAACTAAAACAGGAAAACAGGGTAAAATTTTTTCCCAGAAAACAACGAACTTCCTCCCCGGTTGGGAAACGTTGACCCACAGTTTAAAAAAAGAATGAAGTGAGAATAGAATCATCCTTTCTAACATGCGAGGCATTGCATAGATACATGTACGAAAAAATTCAATGCAGGACATTTAGCCGTAGGAAATTTCACCGCATGGGGAAATTTGCCGCATAGGAAAAATCGCTGCATGAAAAATAGCCGCAAGAGCATTTTACTGTATTCAAGTATTTGTGATAAAAACAGTTAAGGTTAGGTTATGCTCCTATAAATAACGAATTTTTTTTAAATAAAAAGGTTGTTCAAAAACCAAAAATCACAAATACTTGTTTCACAGCAAAATGCTCTTGCGCCATTTTTCATGTAGCGAAATTTCCAACAGAGAAATTTTCTGCGCGAATTTTTCTAGAACCCACAGATAAATATCGTTAGAATTCTACAGTTTTTATCATTTTTTCAACTCTACTTTGGGGAAAAGTAAATCACGCAGTGTATTCTATACGATGGCGTTGTCAGGTCTAGACGGCCGATCAATTTTGAGCCTGAACCTGTAACGATAAGCTTATAATCTTATTGCAAGGTGTTATGTAATATCATAATCTTTAGAGCATCACACTTTAGAACTGCTGTTTGACGCATTGGTGGTCACTGGTGAAGTCTGCTTTTTATTCTTCAACCTGGCGCAGAATATTTTTTTAACAGCAATTCTGAATCTTTCATCCCGAAAACTGTATATTATTGGGTTGATAAACCTGAAATTATATAAATTGATCAGTACTATGTTCCAGTAACCACTGAGAACGTGATTCTCACAAAGGGTCGCGATCTTTGCCAGATGACCTCAGTTAACAGAACCCAGGCGAAAAAACATAAAGTTCCATTGGCAAACGTTTGAAGTAAGGAAAATGTGATCGGGGGAGCACAAATTACATTTTTGAAGTTTTAAAAAAAAAACGTTTTGTTTGTCGAGCAGCTCTGCAAAGTTAAAATTGCTTACATATTTCTAACTTATATCATGATGATAGTAATAGGAGCTATATTCGAAACGGACAGAAAACAACATCAAAAACTTTCCGGACATTGAAAGGATTCTAGATTTTAGTGAAATTACCAGTGCAGTCTTTCAATCTTCAAAAATTGTCTCTCAGAAAACTAACGCCGGTTTATATAATCAAAACGAGAAAAAATACCAAGACAACCTAAACTTTGATTAGTTGACCGGTGATCAATGCATAACCTGTACAAAACTACAAAAATTGCAATTTTATGATCTGGTAAAAGACATCTCCATACGACTTGATGTTAAAAATTGTTTGCTTGTGCTAATTTGTCTTGAAGCTATCAGCGGGATCTGGGTGACGAAGATCCATCATTACTCGTTAGATGAGACGTTACACGGAGTAAACCTCGAAGCAATGAGTTCTAAGATGATTGAAGTTATCACCAAGGAATTAAGATCAATTTTCGCCTTTACGAATAAGTAGGTCATGTAAATAAAAGTAATCTTACCCGTTAGCGAGACCAGCGTAGAACGAAACAGTATACGGAGTCGTGTAGTTGTCGCAGTTGAAAGTTCCCGCCACGAATAGGATGAGCACGATTCCAAAGGGCACTGAAGAAGTATAAACGTTTTTAAAAACATATTGTATACAATTTTGTATACATTCTGTTCTGATTTGATAAACTTGATAAAAACTAAATTGATTCTACCCAATGAGTAAATATTCGTAAGTTTTTTTTAGTATATATATATTAACTATAATAATATAATGCTAATTTCTGCAACTTGTCTGTCCAAAAACGTAAATAAAGTAAGCAAGGTGATAAAATATTCAACACGTTGTAGACGAAAAAACTTACGTATTGTTACTGTGAATCCCAAAATCATTATGGTAATGGTGATGAAAACCGATACTTCAGGTCGTAGCTTATTTGGTGTTCTTAATCTGGGTTTGGTAACTGGACTGGCTGTCACACCTGTGGCTGCGCTGGTGTATCTTGAAGTAGTGTGGAACGCCCCATCGTCCCCGAATGTTTTAGCCCTGCTTGCCAATTTTTTGTACGATACAATACCGGTCATGATGCACGCCACACACTTGAAAAGATAGGAATGTTTTGTTATCCAAGACTCATAATAGAAAATATAGAATGTTACTACACAGAGTAATAGGATTACCGTCTCAGTGATCTAATCAAAACACTTTGGGAATGGAGTTTTGCAGGCAGTGCGCTTGCGGGACTTATTAATTGAGCGTGGCGGCTATACGTTATATTTTTTTTAGTTGTTGCTAGTTTTCTTGAATTTTATTACTTTCTCTTCATCTAATTATATATATATATATATATATATATGATTTTTCCACATTGCCTTTGCTGTAACAATTTTTTCCCTTGTCTGTCGTTTGCTTTCCTTATAATTTGTATAAATTTGTGTATTAGATTTTTGTGACGACAATTAAACGATTGACTGACTGTCTGCTAGGCTTGCACGTAATTGACAAAAATCAATTCCGTAATTACGGCCAAATCGATTACGTAATGACCCCGTAATTGCGATATTTTTTTCCACACATTTAAACCTATCATAACAACCAATTTAATCCACTTCTATTCCGAATGGGACATCGAAGTTGGTTTTCATATTCCCGGCAGTACTACACGCCGGCGACAGATGTTAAAGACAAATATCAAGGAGTAAATTCAAAATAATTTTATTCTGATTTTTATCTTTTGTATTAGCTTTGATTTTTTTTATCCACTTTATCACCAAATTTTATGCGATCCATTTTATCATTACCAACACTGGTAATATATTTAAGAAACGATAGTTCACTTTTTTAAAATCGTATTAACGTATTAATACGACTTTCGTATTAAATAAAAATTCAGGGTTGCTAATTTATTAATCAACTACAAGCGTATTCTCTCGTTTGATTATACATTCGCTTGCCTCGCGACGAAGACTTGTTATTTCACCGTTTTTTACAATATCCGACTTTACTACTTAGTTAGCATTTTATAATAATTATTGATGTCAACTTATTGACGATATTCCGAATTCTATGCTTCATTTTACATTAAATCATTTCGCGGCCTAAAAGTTATAACATTATTTGCGATAAATTTAGATCAAATATTAATTATTTGCGCATTATTTAAAATACCGTACTTATATGACATGCCTTCTCCGAAAATACAAAGTTATATCGCAAAACAATGCATTTTGTGACATTTATTTTGCACATTATTGAAAATATTAATTTATTTCTTTAACTCAAGTCGACAATCCTATTTGCCAAGATTGACACAAGTTTGGTCGAGTGTCGGTGGTATTCGAGTCGACAATAAATCGGCAATAAGTTGCCGCATTTGGTAAAGACAGGTAGTCATTTTTGGCCGACATATTGCGAGGCATTGTGAAAAACATATTGAGCAATGCCAAATCGATAACAGAACATCAAGATTTTGTAACAGAAAATGGATCTCGCGCAGAATAAACACGGAAAATCCCGTCGTATTGTTGTTTCTCTGCCGTCTCAATCTCTTTACCGATGCCGAAAAGACTAAGTTGCGTTGGTTCATTACGCAATTTCTCTTCCGTCTTTATATTGATGTTTGATAAGCGCTTCATTAATTATCACGGCATTTACAAATACACCATGTTTTATAAGTTGATCTCTTACATTCTTTAGTCATTTCACCCGAAGAAGTTGAAACCAGGTGTGTTGACGTCCATCGGTCTCAACACAAGTCTATTCCTTATCTACGGTTAATATGGACATTGGCCATCCTAGATACGTTGATAATAGGTTAGTAAATGACGCGTTATGCCTTCCCCATCTGCCTAACAAGAGAGAGAAAGACGGCTGCGAATACCGGAACTCTAACTTCTTTTACTTAAACTTTAATTTTTTACAATCGACGGAATTGACTGCTCTGAAGAGAGCTCGTTTCAATCGCGAAAGCGCTCGACCAATAATTATGACTTTACGTAATTCGTAACTTCGCTTCCGTAACTCGAAATAATTCCGTAATTCCGTACATCCGTAAATTACGTGCAAGTCTACTGTCTGCATAATATACGACATCTCATTCAGAATAAATCTATGGCTATATTTTCGTTATCCACACCAGTCAAGCAATATGAAAAAATTGAGTAGTGTTGGCTTTTATATCTTGTTCCAAGTCTTACCATTATTGCATAAGGCAGAATCATTGTAATTACAGTGTATAATGGACCATGAATTCCGTATTCTACTTCTCCTGATTCTCCCGTTATTGTTCGCAGCGTCATCATGTGTATTAATAGGGGTGGTTGAAATTTGTATTCAAAATATTGAGAAAAAGCGGCTGTAAATACATAGTTAAATATGAAAATTGGTCAAAAAAAATTATCAAAAAGCACACGCTCACTTTAGTGATGACCTAGTACATCAATATTCCATTATGTCTTTTATTGTCTACAAGGGTTTTTATTCCGTGTTTAGAAGTAACCAAATACTCAGGGTTTATTGAACATATATGAATATACATATATCGCTTATAAATAACTGATATTTATTACCTGGAATAAAAGCGCATAAAAATGATGTTATCCATATCGAGCTCAGAGTGATAATAATGGTTCGAGTTTTCCGCAATAAATGCCAAAATGACCACTTGATGGCAATAAATCGTTCGATAGACAAAAACATCAGATGAAGAAGAGAGGCCTGGAAATTATTATCATTATTATTATGATTAATATTCATTAATACATCTGTTGGAACGGTGGTTTGTTGATTTGAATCCTTGTCAGAGAAAATCATGATACGTCCATGTCGCCCCAGTTACGACGGGTTGGCTAGATTGGGAAAAGCAGAATGTCTAACGCTAACCTATAGGTTCTCAAAGGGTTCCTTAAGCAAAGCCTAGAGGGCTCCGCGAAGCTATTCGTTTACTTATCAAAATTCAGAACATTTGTAAGTAACAATGTGTTTTTGTTTTTATTTTTATAAATGTATTGTGGGGCTCCGTAAATATTAGTCAACCTCTTCGCGGGCTTCATAGCACCAAAAGTTTGAGAACCCCTGGTCTAATCAATAACGTATTAGCGATATTCACAAATTGTAGTGCATATTGTAGGCTACCTGTCCCGACATGGTCAACAAAGATCCGACAAAAATGGCTACAACAGAGTTTGTGTCTTTCTCTAGAAGCTCTATTACCCTTTCCTCGCTGTATTTTCTAATCCAAACCGTGTTTGGAATAACGGCGGTCAATAGAAGAAAACCGCTCAACATGTCAGCAACTGATAAAGAAACTGTAAAAATATAATTATATATATCATCACTGAAGGTGTTGCTGGAATTAAAATGAAATATGATTACAATAAAAACAATTGCTATGATTCCTTTTTTTTTTAAATAAGTTTTAACTTATATTTATTTTACTCAATTCCCTATTTGGATATACCTAATTTTAATTGTACAGGATATCAATGCACGTTTTCAACTAATAGCAGAAATTTAAATTACGGTATATATAGCACTTCACATTTTTGTGTCACTATAGTTCCTTCGGGCGCTAATGAAATTTATGGTCATATAGTGACATCTAACTATATATCGTGTCGACCTGGATTTTTGTAGTTTGAGAGTTGCGCGGAACTTCACTGGAATCTCTGGACTACGCACATCTGGGCGCATGAGTTGAAACTGTTTACTGGTTTATTGCAATCTTTATATTGATTTTATTGATGTCGTTTTTAATTACGAAATTTAATGCAAACCAAGACTTTTACACGTTTTCATCAGAGACTTGAAAATAGGGGGGAAGAGCGCACCAAGAAAGCCAATTCTCGATAAGCACGGAGTTAGGAGCAACTACGTACCGTATAGTCATAGCGGTAAATCGGGCCGTACCATAATGTATTTTAGTTAAATAGACCCTGAAGACCAGACATGTGCTCGAAATATATGAGAGCGCAATTGAAGAAAAATCTATTTTGCGAACACGGTAGATTGTATTCTATTGTAACTATTTGACAAATTTAAGTTACTTACCTTTTATATAATCATACTGAGTTCTCATGTCAGACCTTTGCCATACAACAACAGGCAGCAGGCAGTTAAGAAGAATAATAGTCAATCCAAGTACAATAACAAAAAACGCAAATACTATCATGCCACCTCGTTCTTCACATAGTGATAAAGGCTGCGTAAAATAGTCTAGCTCGTGACACGCGCTTCTGTTATAGTAAACTGGGTATCCGCACAAGGAATCCACTAGAATGGTTTGGTCATCCCTAGACTGATTGTTACCACCGTTCGTTTGATTAGATGCTGGAGTTGTAGCTAGTATCGGCCGCGTATACAATGAGGGTGGCGCAACGTTAGTCAGCGCTGTTCGGTTTTCAAATTCTTGTAAAAATGGTAAATCTGGAGTGTTGCTTATCTCCAATGGCATGGAACTTGTTACCTCTTGGTTATTTCGTTGTATTCGTCGTGTTACCACAATTGCCGGTCCCACAACATTGGGTAGAACGGATGGTTCAAACGGAGGACTAAACAATGTACTCGATTTTGGTGATGGCGGATTAGAGAATGTGGGTGGTATTGTGGAAGATATAACTAGTCGTCTGGAGGTAACAGGGACTCCGAGTGTCGGTTGAACAACGAAAATTGTTGTAGTGGTGGCGGGAATAGTTCTTTTTGTACTGGATTCAGTTGGTAGCGTTGTTGCCCACGGTGTTAATAATATTGAGCGTTTTGTAGTGACTGGTACTCCAGTTTTCCCAAGTGTTGGCTCTGGAGGAAATTGTATTTTGCGTTTCCTGATTGGATCAATGCCAACATTTTTATTGATGTCGAATTGCCTGTTTCTGTCTGCTAGTTCCATTTTTTGGCAAGTAATACATGTACAAAACCCCAGTAGAATTATGATCAGTAACCCAGACATCCCTTTCAATGTATGTTAGTATGTGTACGATAATTATTCTAAAATTCAAAAATCATAGAATTCGAAGAGTCATGAATATAAATAATAAAATGAAATAATCACAACCACGATTTCCCAGATGATGTGGGCATGCTATCTAAATAATCTGTTATCACCCTTTTCAACAAGTACAATGTAGTGAAAAACCAGCTATATATCCTTGTTTAAAAATACCAACGCATTAATTTGCAAATATATACATATTTAATTTAGGATACCAATTTTTACACAATATTGTCTGTTGTATTGGAATTCTTCTACCCCATCCATCGGAGCAAAAGCAATATTCCACGTTTCGCTTTTATGCAATGAAATGCCTATAGAGCTGTCCTAACCGAAGGTAATAACATACTCGTTAGGCAGCATCTGTATTTTATGATACTGGTATCCTCCAGCTTTTCCTCTGAATTTCTAGTTTCATGACCTTATTATGCGAGTGACTTCCGGTAATTATACACTTTTCCATTTATATTGTCTGCTTTACCTCTTGAAGTACTAAGAATTTGCATAGCTTTTTACAACGTTCGATTACCCTATTTTAGTACATGAGACAACTGATTCATAGCATCTTTACATTCTTGGTGCAGCTACGCCTATATGGTATTTACTTTTAACACGACCTCCATACGTCGGGCATCAAATGCCCTATTTTATAATGATTTTGAGAATCTATTATTCTTTAATTCAGTAGGGCGTTTGACTAATGTCACTCAAAGAGACGTCAGTCACGATTTTCTCAAATTGCACCTATTGTTGTTTATTAGGTTCGGCGTAAAATAGTTCCCTATGTGACGTTGGCTTCAAATAACAATCTGACGAATTTTTATATCATTTTTACCACAATCAAAAGCGCTGTTTGGTACAGATATTAATTTCATTTTCAAGGTGAAATTGTGAATGATTTCCCCCCGTGTCGCGGGGATAATATAGAAGTTGTATACCAGAAATTGAATTTGCGGTCCAAAACCTCGGTTTATGGAATGAAGTCACTATTTATGGACAGGACATTCAATATGCAATGAGCTACATTCAGTTAAAAATGGGAACATCAATTTTTCAATAACTAGTTTACGCAATTAGCATAGAAGATAATCATCGTTGTAAATATATCGTTATGGATTGGTTAAAAAATGATGGTAAAAATCCTTTTCATGAGTGCTAGACTAACAATAACTTACAACTTGTTCCTGTTGTTGGGAAATTACCCCAACTGCTGAATAATTCATCATTTATACTTGTTACAAAGGCACAACATATGGATACAGCTGTCTCTGACTTGTGGCTGAATTTATGCTTCAAATTTGAAATATTTCTTTGCGTCGACCGTTCACGTGGAAATTTCAATCTGTAATTTTTTAGTATCCATCGTCATAACTACAGTTGCATCTGGTAAAACCGTATACCACTTACTTTACTAAACACCCCACTATAAATAAAAATCAGTCTTTTCAACTTAAACCCCTAAGGCAGTTAAAAATTATATCCGTTGCCCAAGGCCTGAGGTTACTATCAGAATAACACTATATCGTATGTAACACACGATTATTACCGAAACACGGGTCTACGTCATGCACACACGTGATGTGTCCGGAACAAAATGCTTGTCTTATGTCCAGAGTTCGTTATAGAAAACTCACGAATTTGAAACTCTTACGTTGTTATGCCATAATGACCACGAAAGTTAGACGTGATGCCTAATTAAATTGAATGCTTCACCAACTTATTTGCACGGTCATTTAGTAGTGCAGTGTTAAACTTTAATAGATTCCATGCTGACCATCAATCAGATAGAAATGGTATTAGGTGCGCCAAAAATTGAATTGTCAATAGCTATATTTTCTCATTTCTTGCTATCGAAACTGAACTTTCGCTAAGACGTGAAAGTTCAATAATATTTCCCCTTGATCTGTTAAAATACTTTGATACGCTGACCGAAAGATGAAATTTTTATATTTGAAAATTGCCAATTGCGTTAATTACGTAATCTATGTGAAATGCAATTCGTCACTTTCTAATTCGATTGTCGAACATTCTCGCAAAATGAGACGCTTGGACCTATTCGTATATTTTTAAACCCGACTTGAAATGACGTGCGACGTAAATCCATATTTGGAGTTTCTTTTAAAAAATAGCTTTCAAAGAGCACGACATTTTCAAATGCTTATATGCAACAACGAATAACATTACCAAATATAATATATATATATATTAACGATATTCAGTAATTCGAATACATTTTTGTGACTTTGTATCATATTAATCACATGTTTTTAAAGAGATAGACACACATCAGTAAAAATAACCAAGTAATTCAAATTTGTCGTGCATTAAAAAAAATTAGATGAGGCTGCCAGTCTTTTCTGGTAAATTTTATTCTTGATGTAATCGCACTTTTAACTATTCTCACGGTGCGGTTCGTTGAAGTGAAACGCAACGCAAGACCTGTGTACTATATGTTATGTATAAATAAATACATATCATGGGTCAAATACAGCTTCACTGAAAAATTTACATTTCAATTTAAATTGTTTTTCGCGAGTTTCGCGCAGAACCTTCAATTTCGCCGCCAATTTGGCTATGGAAACTTTATCGAACCGTTGACTTAAAGATGTACTCAAAGCATGTAGGGCCTTTTTTATATTGTCACAGATAGGTTTTTATTCTGTGTATTGAAAGAATCAGAAGAGTCAGACTCCGGATTTGTGGTTTATTATGAGGCAACTTCACAGTTGAAACACTTAAATCACCATACACCAGAGAACGCAGGAAAACACGCCCGACGTCCAACCCAGCCGATCGAAGAAGGGAATGAAGCTCTTTTTCCCCCGCGACTCGATGGTGGTAGGAGTCTTTCAGTAACCGAAATCGGATGAGGTATACCCAAATTAAGGGTCCTCGAAAAGGATATAGGCAAATATAAATAGACAAACTAAACCAAAACACACGGTTAATAAAATCCGTGACAATAGAAAGAAATCTTTTCTAATTTTTAAATGGTGAATATTCTATATGTAGCAGTTATTTTAGTTTAAAAACGTGCTATTTATAAGTAAATGGAAATCGGTTTTCATATTCTGTATTTTAAAAAATCTCGTTATTCTCTACATTCCCCCAAAATAAGCCCTAGTGTTATTTTTGAAAGAAATTGAAGACACTGTCTTATTTCCATGGAATCACGGTGTGATGATGTATGTATTCATTCGGAATCGTGAAATTTTTGTTATACGCTAGTTCTAATAATTGTATTTTGAATCAAGGGTCCGAAAAAGTACAATAGATAGTACTTTGTGTAAAATTGGTATTCTTTTTGCGCCCCCCAAAATTCGTTTGGGCCCCTAGTTTGGGAAGCCCTGCACTAAACCATCAACAGCGATATAGATGTCGCTGCTTGAATATCTATAACCACTGAACTGATAATATATATTTGTGGACCAAACGAGGTCTTTCGCGACCTCTGCGCACAACTAGCATTAATAGTATGTATATAATATGTACCGATATTTGAGCATTTGTTTTTTGTGACGTCAAATAAACCATTGACTGACTAACTCCATACATCCAACATGTATTGTATTCCTCCCTTTCCCCAATCTAAGAATTGCGGTACTGACCAAACCTTTATTATGAATAGACGGCGCAGCCAGCCCATTCTCATCTATCTCGGTTGGTTTGGAGGAAGGATCGACAGTAAGCCAAAAAACTGGACCTCCTGAAGTACGCGCACAGCCTGAACATAGTATGTGTACCAGGTTAGGGTTCAGGTTATGCGACACCTTGGTGCGCATACTTCCGGAGCACCAAAAAACTTCGGTGAACAGTGAATCAATCACCCTAGCAAGAGCAAAATAGTGTCGAAAAAGACGTACGAGTTTCTCCCACTGTACGTGACCGTACGTTTTTGGGCGGCATGGCCCCTCATCTGCTGCAGTTATGAATAAAACCTCGCGGATAGTAATATAGGTATGCCCAAAACATCATGAACTTCCGCAACTTTCAATTAGCCAGGCCGACTCTTGCGTTTTTCATTATACTTTGGATCCAATATACCTCTGAACGACGAACGCGAGACTCGTGGTTAAAATCTTCAAAGGGGAAAGTAAACCAAGCCCGATGATTATCTGGGCGTGACTATGTAAAAGTCAATACAAAAGAAATAATGGTCCACGTCATATATTTTATATTGTAATGTGGTATAATATAATCTACAATATGCATTGTTATACTGATAAAACAGAAATACTCCATATATAGTATCGACGAATAATAGGGGAATGTGGAATATCCTTCTCAGCATCACGTCCAACAAGAATTCAATAACTGCAACAAATACAAACAAAAATACCACATTTTGTCATATGGGCATGGTTCCAGGAGCAATTGAAATTAGTATTATATATTGATTTCCATCATAGCACACAGTTTTCACAATTGAATTCATCAAATACATTTTAGATTTAAAATGCAATAAAGGTTCAATCATGATTTTGATTAGATATTATGGTAGTCAAGTTCTTTCTCTTTCTTTGCTTTGAAGTTCATTCACGTCAAAATTATATCTATTAAAAAGTAGTACAAAATCACAGAGATTTGTGAAAAATTTTGTAAAAACAAATTCACAAATCTAACCACAGCATACATTATACAACTGCAATTCAATTGTTGAGCTAACCAATGCCACTATTAAATATAATTTACGACGAGTATGCACCATATTGTGATCAAATGAGGTTAATTTGGCACCCAATATAAAAAAAAAACATGTTTGGTACCATGAAGACGAATACAAAATGGAGGAACAGTGGAAATATTTTAATACAATTCAAGCAGATTACCAACCAACAATAGAAATCACAATGACTCGTTCTGCGTTATGTCTAAAAAATACTAAAAGTACTTCAAATTAGCAGACATTGAATTAAAATATGCATTCAATTTTAGCACTTGTATACTGTAATCATTATTTTGAAGAATATCTTAGTAGAGTACATGAATTCTTCATTCTCTCTTGATAGTATTGACAAATAATCATTTATTTCCAGACTTAGATGTGTAATTAACACAGACATTGGGACAATTTTATATATTATTTAGGTTATCAGAACCATGCTGAAAAAATGTTGTAAGCTTTTCAGTATGGCCGATTTGTCGAGCCAAAACAAAAATTTAAATAAAAAATTTTCACATTGCACTGTACTATGAAATATACAGTATGATATAAACAAAATTTTAACACAAGATCCTACCTAGATACTTTCCAAGTTTATCACAATACATAACATGTGTACAATACATAAATGGGATATAAAATATCAAATGCAGCAAAGTAAGATACTAACTAGTAAAAAATTGCATTAGAATAAAAAACTAATATACTGAGTAATTTCATTATTTTTGATTTATAAAAGTTGTCAGGCCAAAGTTTGCGATAAGGGTTAAATTATGTGCTGCTACTTTCATAAAATTTGTTTTTAAATTTGACAACCATGGAGGTACAGCTTATTTCTGCCCAATGGTCGACATTGGCATTGTTTTCCAAAGCGTACATATGCCACTATCATAATGTAAATTTAAAAGCAAATTAGAGATATGATGAGTTGATATAAAAATAAACTGATAACATTTGCAAACAAGTCTATAACCAATAATATTATTCAATCTGCCCAGACTCCGATAGATCATCAACACCAGCTTGTGCCATGAGCTCTGCTATACTTTTTTCCAAATCATCTAATTTTTCTCCCATTTCATCAATCCTTGTCAATACTCCATCAGACATTCCTTGGAATTTTACTTGCACATCTTGTAAAACATGTTGGACGTATGTTGTGAGATCTTGCACAGATTTAGGATCAGATCCGGTATCGGCCATTTTGTTAAATACTTTTGGAAATACTTATTTACAATTATTATTAAAATCTGAATGTTAAAATAAATAAACCTATGTTACAACTTTTCACTAAGATACCGTAATTTTTTTGTAATACTAGGATGTATAACCTTTGCTCCGAACAAGGCACTATAAGCAAAATCAGCTACTGGTACATTGGGAGGGGCTGCATTTAACAGGTTTTGAATATAGCATATACAACTTATTGAGATGGTGGCATTACTTAAACTGATAGGCTTTATGTCAGGCATGATGACCATTAACACACTATGCCATAAAATGATAAAAATATAGTGATGTTCTGGCTAGAAGACAAATTCTTAGCATTTCAACTGTACCAGGATCACTTGAAAATGATTGATAAAATTCGTAATCTGTACATTGAATATGGAATGCTAATAATACAAAAGTTTTCCTGGTAAAGAGATACTTCCTAGACTTTTGGCATGAACAAAATCATTTGAAAAACGGTGATGAAGGTTTAGAAATCTGTAGAGCCAGACCTATTTGAATAAAAATAAAAAAAATTCAACACGAAACAACACTTCAAATAAATAAATATATCAATTCATGCATGACTTTCAGTCAATTCAAAATGAACAATTCCCAACGCATGGAGAATTTTCAATACAAAAACTAAAACTGTTACTGGCCTCATGAGCTGACTCCTGAACAAAAGTTACAAGCATAAATTCAGACCCAAAATTTGAAGTTCAGAATAAGTAGTTCTATACATTATCAAGAATGTATTAACCAATTGGAAAGGCTTTATTAAACTTGGCAAAAACGAATATGACTTTGATATTTGACCTTAAAGATTTGATATGTTTTTTTCCTAAAAAGAATATTTGTATATCCAACAAAAGCTTTTGAAATTTATGAATGAATACACTTTTATTTGTGTAGTATAAACATATGAAAATGGGGAACAAAAGAATCTGTCGAACTCATTTAATCCAAGGAAAAAAGAATAGAGTTTACACTTTTACATCAGTAGCATATTTACACAATTTGCTTGTTTTGGAATAGAACAATTCATCCTGCTATGCTATGATTGTTGAATCTTCAATTATAGTATTGAATTCAAAAAGTCATTCCATTATTCAAAGTGATGTCAAATATTGTCTACATCAAAATATTTACATACTTGTCATTTAGCTGTCCTTTGAATGAATAATAATTTCATAAGACAAATAAGTATTTACAGCAATATACAGTTAAATGCAGACTTATCAAGCAAACTATTATCAACAATTAGGAACGAGGTTAAATATAAAATCATTCTTTTTCATATGTAGTGTTTTTTTTTAATGAGTTCTACTATGACATGAATTAATAATAGACCTCATTTAATAAAAAAATATCCACCAAGAATTAAGAGCATACCTTTATCCTTTCTGATTAGGCTTGCCTAGTAACTACATAAAAATTAATATGAATATCTAAATGAAATTTATTTCTTTGTATGATATATTACTGTTATTAGGTCGTTACTATTTCTGTATTTGTTCACAATATTCACAGGCTCAGTAAATATTAGTCCATTCCTGAATAAGATATTACAAACGACTGTTTTCCAGACAGTTTGTTATCAACCACAGGCCTACTTATGGCATTTCAGTGTCAAAAAGTGATATAAGACAACTGTCACTAGAATCCCGTTTATGAAAATACCATGCAGATAATTACATCAACCGGTTCTTCTGGCCTTATGAGGAATGTCTCAATCCTATTCATTAAAACAGAGGGCTAAAAACTTATTCGTTTATTTCCAAAATTAAAAGAATTTGTAATAAAAAAATTATTCTGTAGTTGAAAATTTGTTTCATTTATTCAAAGAATAGACCAAGAAGTAGCATAAATTCATTAGACTTGTAAAAAACGATAGCTTCACATAAAAAATTCATGATAGATTCACTTAAACTCAACAGTTTTACCTCAACACTATACAAATCGGGTGACATTGTCCCGTTTCAGAGAAACACATTTTACAGATGATCAGACACCCCTTCTTTGGGAGACGTCTGGACATTGTTGTCCCTCAATATCGGTAATAATGCAGTATAATGAAGTTGCGCAAAATACTACAAAGAAGCACACTCTAGTAACGTCATCATTGAATTCCTTGGGAAAAAATAATCCGATTTACCAAAGAAAAAAAAATTCTACCGTAGCATTCGAGAGTTTTTAGCAAAAAACGGCAATTTTGGTCATGTGACAGCCTCGATTAATTTAGATTTTTATTGAAACAAGCATGGCACGATATGAAGCATCTGACGTGGTCCCAGACGCCCCTCGTTTGTGAGACACATAGAGTGTTTGTTTTATTGAGCCAAATGGAGGGAAATTCTTGGAATTTGGATAGTGTGCTGTACTGCAGTACCGTACAGCAGTACTGCAGTAACTGTAAAACTAGAGGCAATTCAATCTTAAAATATCGAAGGCTCACTTCACTAATTTCTGATACATGTAACTTAAAGAAAATTTGTCCATAACGCTATAATGCAGTAATGAATATCTAGAAATTCAACCTTTTCTATTGGCTTTCAAGCTATCGATGATAAAATGCACACGTAATTCATATTATACAGTTATAGGACTGCAGAAACCTGTGACGGTTTGGTGCTTGACAGTGCTGTTGTTCAGTTAATTCTATCCGATTCAGCATAATACAGATTCCAGAGTTTGATACCATTCATGTTCCTTCGATATACAACTCGTTATTTTTCACGGCGCATCCACTGCCTCTTATTTCATTGTTTCCCTTCAAATCTGCCATACTTTCCATAATTGGCACTCGGAATAATTCAAACACCCAGCGCCCCACGGCCCGCTCGCCAATGAACGAAAAGAACACAATGGTCGAGGACAAATTACGTTTTGGCGTACACTCCACTCTAAACAATTCGCTTGTTGGCTTTGTTTGTTTTGGCCAATGATTCGCGAATGACGCGCGGTTATTTTGAATACCACAACAGAAAACTTACAACTACCGGTATGTGTTCTTCATAGAGCCATTTATGAAACAGGCTGTAGAACCGGTCTATATTAAAATAGATCATCTTATTTTTTTGACTTGGTGGTAAGTCCTCGTCGAATTGCAGAAAATCTAAGCCTTCAAACCCAAGTGGAAATTTCCGAAACGTCATATGTACGTCGCCATGTGAACGGATTTTTGAACGCTCAGTTAGCGGCGCTCTATTTATTCAAACTAACCGCAGAACGTTCGCCGTCGAGTGATGTATTTATTCCTCAATACTTCGAAATAGATATCGATATACTCGCAACGCAATTACACAAAGAACCTTCTTTTGGTGGATTTACCAGTATAATCTTCATATATCCCCCTTGACACGGATAGTCGCAATAAATTACAATCGATTGGGGAGAAGCAAGTCCAATAAATAATCTTTCACTGTGAACAGCGCACTCGTAACAAGCCCTGGGAACCTTAGCATGCACTAATAATGACGCAAACTTACTAGCAATATTTTTTTTAAATATGATAAATACACAAATTAGTTTGGAATAACTTCATTAATATTTTTCCAAATGCGGACATGTTATTCAAATATGACTATAAGACGACCAAATAAAATAATAATAACACATGCAACGTAATATGAATGTGGTCAAATACATACACACAAGAGCAATAACATGTCAGGGAAACACATGTCCCGAAACACAAAAAGAATCAGGATACAATGTAATATTACAGTTATTTAAACAAGAAACCGGAACACCACTGCACATCGTTGTTAACAATAGCCAAATCATGTTATTATCTTAATTTAAGATTGCGGTTTTCGTGTGTAAGCTAAATACTAGAGTAATTCTGCCATTTTTTTCATAGATTCACACTGACGAATTAGGAAACACCTAATTGCATTGAATTTATGTATCTTCAGATGATTATAGCATATTGCGGCTTCGCACGCCAAACATATCTTTCTCTAGTCAGACCAACGGTATTATAAATGAATGGCTTACTGATACTAGAGTAGGTAAATAATCATTACTGTAGTAAAACATGGGCAATAAATCTCAAGCTGGTAAACGGCCGTTAGCCAAAAGCAAACAATAATGTCTGAATTAAGAAACATAACAAAGTTTGAGCAAAAAAGTCTTAGAGGTTTTTTAATAGTGAATACAAATCACGCTTGGAAACAAATATGCTCAATGGAATTCCAGTTTGTCAATAAACAAAATATAAAATTAACTACAGTATATATTTTGATTTCATATTGAAATTTTTAAAGATGTATATGTACATTCAGTTGGAGCGTTTTACATTGCTAGTGAGAACAAAATCAAAAAGTTTAATCAATTTAAAACAACAATAATAATAATAAATTCTTTAAAAATTATTGAGTACCAAGCCATTTCACAACACTCAAAAAAGTTAATTTTATTAGAGTCCTATGCACTCACTCAAGTCACACAGGAAATAAAGGCCACATAGTGTGGAACAAACCTGTTTAAGATAAAATTTGTATTGGCTGCCTCAGTGCAAATAAAAAAAATTATGGTCTGTTATTATAACAGTTTTGAAACAAAATTTTTATCAACTAAAAGAGATCAACATGGGAGAAGCTGCGATCCCACACATTTTAATAGTCAATTGGCAGCTGTTGACTGATTTTTCTTGTTTGTGTTTATCAATTTCCATAGATGTACAGGAAAGTCAATGAGGATTTATAGAAGTTTGCATTTTTTTTCCTGATGGCTTTATTCAATCCACGCCTTCAAATCCTTGAGAACTTTCAATGGCGAGGTGCAGTTTTTTACGAAGTTCATCTAGCGAAGTGTATGGAGGGAGGTCTAGTCGATTGAAACTAAAAAAAATGAAAAATCCTATAACAAAATGCAATTCAAAAAAGCTAGATTATAACTATCTACTAAACAAGATAGTTTTTCTATGCTTTTTTAATAAATAATCAGATTATCATGCCTGTTTATCAATTTAGATTGAACATTTTTGATGAGGAGATGCGGTATCAACATGTTATATCATAAATGTCACTCACCATGTGTGTGCTCTTGGTAATTTATCAGGTGTTCCCCATTTTTCAACAGTGAACAATTGAGGTCCATTACTTCCCCAAAGTTCGGCAAAACCATTCATTGGCACACGAGAAGTACCAGTTACAAATTGCAGGAAACGTACTCGTGATTCTGGATCCATCAAAAGTATTGCCTGTAATAGAAAAGATCAATTAATTGAAGATTAATAGCAAAACATCAAAAAAAAATGAATCTTTTACCAACAGCTTGATTTTAATTTGAACATGAAATTTTTATTTGGCCGATAATGAAATTTCAAATATTGCATAACATTTTTGTTAAACATATACTTATTGTTCGAAATTTATCTATCATCTAAGCCTGAATTGGATTTTATGCATTATGAAACATACATGAATACAACAGAAAACTAATAAAAAAGTGACTTTCTGTTGCATGTAAAATACAGTTCGAAATGGCATTTCGAAACAGATCATGTCTAATTTAATAAATCTCAATGGAATACCAAGAAAAGTAGTGTAATGGGTTCAATTCCATCAAAATCATTTAGCCTTAATATTTTAAAACGAAGTCGATTAGCTTTGTCTATTGTATATATTTAACCTACAAAAAGCCCATGTCCCTTTGTGTCAAGTCTATTATATTGTTTGTATAACCTTGGCCATTGTTTAGGAAGTATTACTGTAACCCTTGGCATTCAACTTTGAAACCACCATTATGAACTTACCTTCCAAAACCATTGAATAACAATGTGATTTGCGCTATAATCGCCTTTGTATGTCGTATTATTTCGCCAGTCATTAACATCAACATCCCCCAGTCCACACATGAGTAATTCTAGCTCATTCTCGTCAAATATTTTTAGCAGATTTGTAGGGATGAGCTCATTGAAACCCTGAGAAGTAGGAAATGAAAGATACTTTTTATTCACATATCGATTAATAGGGAAGGAAGATGAATAAGCAGAAACAAACAGGAGTAGTAATAGTACTTAGCGATTAATATTCAAAATTCTATTACTGTATTTTAAAAATTTTCAGACAATAAAATAGATAATGCTAGCAGCCAACAACTAAAAAAATATTCTAATAAAACAAGGTATCATTATTACTTTATGTTAAATGAATGGCTCTAAACAGTAGTAGCCTTACGAAAGGTCATTACGGTACTTATATTCTGTTGTAATTGTCTATATCAGCTTTAATACAGATGGGCCATATAGAAGTAACTGGGTGATTCAGCAGACCACACCTAGTAGTAGGTTTCTAGTAGTTGTAAGCACAGAATTTTGGTTATTGATCTTATGATATGCATTGTTCGATTTGCTCAAGCTAGCTGTTAAAAGATTGTATCGTCATAGACATAGATAATGACTCGAGTATAGGCTTCACAATGTGAAGGGATTGGGATAGCCAAATTGAAAACTCGTTTCACAGGCTGCACATCATTCAAAATTGGCACTTCTTTGCATGCCGCTCAATTTTTTCTTGGGGGCCGGTTGCACACCCCTGGCCTATATCATTGGTAAATTTTATTTAGCAAAACTACAAAACTTTTCGTGAACAGATTGAGGTTGAGGTAATACAACACATACTTGAATAATGCTGTAAATAAGCATTTTGATTCTTTTGTGTTCGACACAATGCAGACAAAAGACAAGATACAAAGCAGATAAAAATTAAGAAAACAAAGGCATTATTCCACTGGTCGACAGTTAGCATAGTGGAAATAATTGTAAACAATTATGGATGTTTTGACAATAGTGTCCATTTCCCCTAGGCGTGGCTGTTATTATTTCGTGGCGATAAAATCAGCATCACTATTGTTATAATTAAAAAATTTAAGACTAGGTCGTGTCAAGCATGATCACTAGATATATTGTACTAAGAAACATGATATATATATGTTTCATGTTCGATCTAGTCTGGAATTCAACAGTAATTTACATCGCCTTATTAATTGATAAGTCACCCAGAGAGGGTCAGGCACCAACTCAATCTATTATTCCCAATTGTTGCAAAGTCACAAGCTTATAAATGTATATTTCGTAACATAAATGACAACCTTCCATTTATCTATGTCACAGTTAACAAGATGACATAACCAAACCTATCGCACTTATCAAATATTCACGATTTTAAGTAAATCAAAGTATTTTATAAAAATCAACATGGATACAGTTGCATATCACCTTTACATTTTCCTAGGCCGAATAAAAAATAAAAAAAAATATTGAAGAAAAGCAAATATATTTCATCATATTTATGTATTCCAAATGTAGGTTTTATAGCAGTACCAGTACCAATTATATTAGTCTTGGAAAATTTTCAAATATGAACGAGCTAGAATGCAGTAAAATCAACCCTGTCGAAATATAAACTTAACATACCTCCAAAAATGATTTCATTTGTTCCTGTACACGAGATACAAATCTCCACCTTATCACCAATCTGGAATGAGGAAAGATCATTATTCATTACACGTTACACAAATTTCTCACAACCTTTTTAAAGTAGTGTCAACATACTATATGAAGTTCACAAGTATTGTAGAGTTAAAACTTTCGGTCTGAAAACAAAATCTCATACAAGGGCTGTTATTTCATATTCAACCTGTATCAGACTGTATAGTTGACATGTTACTGTGGCCTAACTGATGGAGACTATTTCTAAGTAGGTATGGTACAGCATGGTATGCAATAGATCAGTGGCGACCAACCTTTTTCTAAGCACCCCAAATTCGTAAAAAATAAATCCCGTATCAAGGCAATACTATACGGCAAGTAGTGTTTCTATTGTCGCAAAATTAAATTACTATTACAAAAAAATATTTTTTCCATAACGTTTATTTACTTATTTTTTAGTTCATTGATCCAACATTATTATTTGTTAGCCACCAGCGAATTTTTAAAATCGTGGTGTTTCTTTACTTGAGCAAAATAGATGATTCCAAGTTTTTACACTGTGATACTTCCCATGTATATACAATTGCTATTATACAACACTTCAATGCCAAAATTCAATGCCTAAACAATAAAATTTACTGGAAAATGAGATCAATAACTTTTTTGTTGAAAAAGAACCCAAAAAAGTTTTCAGGCGACCCAGCTAAAGTTCGCAACACGTAGGTTAGGAAACACTGCAAAAAATATTCACAAAATTTAGATTAATATTATTTATGAATAAAATTTAACAGACATTATGTGAGAACATACTGAATATATTCCTTCTTGTTTTCATTTGTTACTGCAATGTTATCCCCATCAGGTTTCAAATTTCTTGAATTGGTACTTCCAAATAGTTCTTCATCGACAGTAAAATTCAAGTCAAGATCTGTTGGGTCATTTTCCAGAATCCAGCGAAGCGAATTATAATATTCAGAATCCTTGAAATAAGAAATAAAAAGTTAGGTTTACCATGTTTTCAACAGTAAACTCTCATTGGAACCGAGCGGGATATTTTAGTCAGTCAGGTTATTTGCTACTATGAGTCATATTTAAGCTTATTTGCTACTATGAGTCATATTTAAGCTAATTGAAGACAATATAAAAGTTTACACAGGGTCCTAAGTTGTCAAGGTTTAACACTTCTCATGATAACTAGTAATATTGTATTGTATGTACAAATAATAATATCTTACCACTGATTCCATGTCGTGTAGCGTGATTGGTTTGCTCAACATCATCTTGTAAAATGGTCGGATGAAAAATGCTGAAATGGAGATATAAATGAAAACGGTGATTACAATTTTAAAATTTGTTCAATTGGGTGGGTAACTGGTGGAAAAATGGAAACAAAATATACCATTCAATTATTTTTTAACAATAAAAATAATAATCCTAATGAAAATATTTCATATTCATACCATCCAATAATTTTCCATGAAATACTGCCATTCCTGCCACACGTCCAATAAACTTGAACCATTGTAAATGACTTTCATTACACATTCCAGAATTAGGATTGATTTGTAATGTGTAGTTATCGCTGCAATATAAATAAAAAACATTACATGCTAATATGAAGAACCAAAATTGTATCTGATATGTCTACAACAGGGGTTCTCAACCTGGGGTTCGCGAACAGTCCAGTTTTTGTGTCTGTGTTTTTTTTTCAACATCCTTTAACAAAGGAAAACTAAGTAACTACAAGATGAAAATGCATGCCAATGGAAACTCAGCGTAGATTTTCCTTGATCTAGCGTTGTCGTGATTGTGATGCAACAATGTGATTTGCACAGCTTTTCAGCCAAACTGTGAAATCTCAAAAGACAATGTGATGCGAGCATTGCAGAAAGTGATATGCATCGAAACTTGAGAGATCCCAAGAATACATTAGTTGGGTGTAGGACAAGGACAATAACATCGACACGAATATTTGATTTAGTTACAGCAGTTGGTCAATAAATTGTCATTGCAACAAATTGTTAGTCAATATATCACAACTTTGATTGGCGTCTGATTACTGGGGGTTCGCATTGATTGTTTCGCAACTCGGGGGGGTACTTAAGAGAAAAAAGGTTGAGAACCCCTGGTCTACAGTGTTTTTCAACAAAACTCAAATAATATTTGTTGATATTCATGAACAAGTTGAACAGCAAATCCTCTAGGCTAGGGCATATGGCGTTCCAGAAGTATGTGTACCAATATGGAGGTAACTAATTCTGTTCGCCTACTTTACATCAAGTTGTGTAAAGGGACTGAAATCTATGAAAAATAGGGAGAAAATTATGGCCTAACCCTAATCGGGCACACACACTACGGGAGTACCGGGCATATAGTAAACATACCTATTTGTATATATAACTGAAACATATGATGGTACAGCAGACAAATGGCTGACAAGTTGGATTAACTATTTTAGTCATGAGTAACTATAATAATCATGGAATCGAGCCTTTGATATTGTCTTCTTCAGACTAATACAAATTTTCGAATAGGATAAGATTTTAATATTTATCTTAAGAGAAAAAAAGTTGATGACAACAGCCTCTCGTCTGGTTACCAGCCCGTGTTCGATATGGAAATAGCTGAGCAGTTATTTGTATCCGGTGCATAGACTGGAACGCGATACAAACTATTACCGACCCTGTTACGCAGAACAATATACGCCATCGAGGAGTACCATGCTTTCGCACATAACTATCCAATATCCATTAGAAGATTCAAAACAGAGGGGTAATTAGAGGCGCAATGGCAATTGTGTGAACCTAACGTTCAGTATGGCCTGCTCACCTCTGAGCCCTATTTATATTCCAAACAGATAATCTGTTTTGAATCCTGCATAATATGAACAAATACATTGATTGATAATTAATAAAATAATTCGAAAACCTCTGATACTTACGTTGATGAATATTCGAAAAGACCATAATATGGATTGAACATTTCTTTAGAGATGAGGTAGAACCATTCTCGAGCGACACCACCATAATCCAAACCTTTTTCTCCAATGAATTCAATCCAAAGTCTGGATTTTAATAAATCCGTCTTTTTAACAATGGAAATCGCACGGAATGAATCATTTAATATACTATTGCGATGCATCTTCATCTCAAATCGGTTGGGGATGTCTCTCTGAAAGAGGAAAGTCAGTTGGTTAAATATTGGAAAAATTGGTTTAATGAAATTTTTCATCTCAAATTCAACTACTGATAGTCAATAGTTATCTCATTTTTTTTCACAGAATTCATAAAAAATTGAATATGTGAAAATTTTATCTAGTTTGTTAAAAAGGTAGCAATGAACAAATATTGGTACTCCCGTAGTGTGTGCCAGGTTAGTGTTATGGCGTATTTTTATTACGATTTTCCCTATTTTAGTTCTATTATGAGTTCGGGGACTGTCTGTGTAAGCCAAGTGAATATACCCGCTGCCCATAGGTTTCAGTCTGACAACTTGATGTAAAATAGTCGAACAAAATTAGTTACCTCCATATTGGTACACACACTTCTGGAGCGCTCAAATATTGAAGTACCAATAGCGTTATCATAAATGTGGGTAAATTTTGCATAGTGAGGGCAATTTTTTCCAAAAAACAGCAGATATTAGGTAAAGAACATGAACAACGATGGAGAAAATGACATACAAACATACAGCATAGCCTATCTACTTTGTAATATTTCAATACAACAAATAGTACACTCCTATGTGAAGCACTACTTACTGGCGTTGATTTGTGTAATTTCAATCTGAAGAATTCATATTTTTGTTTGTAATCTCGAGAATACGGAACAGCCTGAAAAATAAGAGGATAGGAAAATGCCAATATAATATAGCCTGATAATGCTCACTTACGCAATAAAAATGACTTGTAAATGGATCAGAAAGGACACTGCTCAAAATTTCTTAATATATAGTAATCTTCATCATGATTAAGTATAGTTTATTAATTTAGTTTCATAACTCAAAATTTTAGTATCTTTCTGCATGATTTAGCTTTCATGTGGTAAATGATGCCAGCTGGAAAGGAACTCTCACACTTCCAAGTTGGAATTTTCACATTCATCACTTCTGCATATTTGCCAAGTTTTTCTTTTATAGTTAATGTAATGCTGTCTATTAAAATATGGGTATAATACTCTGTTTACTGAACAAAATGTGTATTGCCAACAATTATTATCAGGTTAGAAAATAAACTGACGAAAAGAGATTGGAAAATAGAAAGATAATTCTATCAGTTTGCAGAGAAATAAACATGATGTATGAATCACTTACTGGGCCAGTAATCTCAGGGCTTTGTAGACGTGGATCTTCCCATTGAGTTTTTCGGTTCACTGTTAACAAAATAACACATATTATAATACGATAATAAGAGAAATAATAGATAAATATGAATGTGATTTTCAGTCAACAAACCTGGGATAAAGACCCACACATAAAGAGTAAAGAGGGGTGAAATAAATATACAGCAAGAACTATTTGTTCCCCCTATGATGAAATAGATTGTCATGGAAATTTCTAATTTTAAACGACAAATTATTGAATATTCAAAAACCATGTATACATTACACTAGTAGAAAAACGATTAAAAACATTATAAAATAAACCCAGTCCCGTGGGCCACATGTGGCCTGCCCCTTCTTTATCTGTAAGCCGTGCTGCATTTTCGCAAGGGTAAACGCAAATGCATTTGGTGTTGTTTCGTCATGAAAATAACCAGAAAAATCTTATGACATTGTTTCATCACTAATGTAACTGAATTGACCAGTGTTATGTGGCTAGCTAAGCAATTAGCAAAGTTGAAACTGGGTTTCTATTTTTTTTTGTCGGGAATATATGCTAACAAAATAGGCTTCATAGAAAACTAAAAATCGAATGGGGAATATATTAGGTACTGTAAATATTAATGTAATGACCAAACAATATAATGCCTGCCAGGTGTTTTTTTGGAACCAGCCTAAACAGTATTACAACAAATGCTTCCTATAGCCTATGTCAAAAAATTTAGTAATTACCCTTCTGTATCTCAAATTTGGTAAAATTTAGTAATCAATCAATCTGCAGTTATTTTAGGTCATTTTGTAAAAATGAGTTTGAAAAAAGAGCTGACCAATTCAAACAGATTTTTGGTCAGATATGGGAGGGATACCACAATGCTTGCTTATTAATATGTCTGAAAGTTGTGTCGGTGACAATCTAAAACAGCATTTTCTCCCTATTGCACTTTCTCCATTATGGAGAGTTTGAAATTTAGCTCAATAATGTTTTAGCTCAATAAATGACAAATAATGATTAGAGTGTTTGGACAATAAAATACTTATTGGAATGTTCGAAGCTTAAATTATGCGAATATAAACATTCGTAACATACCGTGATCAACATAGAATACTCTGCCATCAGCGTGAACTCTTTCCTCCCATCCATCCTGCAAAAGAAGAGGAAAAATAAATAGCGTGAAAATTGTTAAGAGGAGTTGAAGCCACCTATTGTTTCACTATAATGATCAGAGCAACCTATCAAAATTCCCCCTTGGGTCAAAATTGCAAATCTTACTGGTAATAAAAGCAGTCGAAATTACCTACAGAAATCAAAAAGAATTAAGTTTACTAAGCATTTTTGACAGTTGTTGAAAATTTGATAATAAAATAGGAGTTTAGAGCGGGAGTCAGAGTCTAAATTATTTACAATCTAGGGCAGGGGTGGGCAAGGTTTTCGGACCGAAGGCCAAAAATTTTGCCCACCCAGACTGGCGGGTCATGTAAGTGTGCCGTAAAAAGTTACATTTTATGAACAAAATCCACAGTGTTACAAAAGCAAAAGTGAAAAACAATACGTCTTGTGCCAAAGCAAAATTTAATTGCAATCTCAACAAACTCCTTGAGTTATTTATTTAGGTCGAACAACTAAATTTGGTTTTAGTTTGATTGTGGCAGCATCAGGTGGGCCAGATTGAACTACCCAATGGGCCGGATTTGACCCGCAGACCGTAGTTGCCCATGTCAGATCTAGGGTCTGAGAGTCGTCGTCAATAGTTTTCTCAACAAAGAGTCAGAAAATAGAAGACAAAAACATTTTAACCTTGAGTCAGGAGACTAGCCTATTGTAAATTTTCCCAACTTCACAGTACATGTGAAGAAGCACATAGATGTGAGAAACCCGGAAAAATTATTTCAAAGGAAATACATTGAAATTTTCAAAGAGGATAAGACCATGAAGTGGTTCCTAGTATGCAGGATATTTACATTTTCTAAAAGACATGTATTTGGTATAATATTAGAACTAAGGAGTATTTATTTCTCTCTCACACTCCTCCAACAAAAAATAAATCTTACTGGTAAATGTCCTAAATCGTCAGCGCTTTTCAAGTTTCCACGTTGAATAGGAGGTCGAGAAGACCTAGGATCATTCCACGTTGTTGTTTTCGTGTTGTGATCAATAAAAAATACTTTTCCACCTGGTGCTTTTCTGGAAAGAAATTATTTTTCAATAAAATACAATTTTCAATAAAAACTTAGAAGTCAATAGATCAGTAATAGGATATGATTAATCATTTTCCTCTGTGAATAAACGATAGGCGAAATTGTTGTACAATGTCAAAATGAATGACTCAGCTGTGCGCAAAATCAGTACAGTAATGCATAGTGTGTTGATTAAAAAATCATTATTAAGCTATATTTCAGCTAATATATATTACCTTCCAATCAATATTAAAATAACTGTAGGTAGCAAGCCTAATGGAATTTATAAGGTTTTTGAGAACCAAGGAGACAATAAAGAAAAATAGTGAATTTTTTTACTTTGTATTCAACTAATTCAATCATCATAAAGTACCTACGTATACAATTCACTTAAATCAATTTACAAATTATTGTGCAAGCTAGCATGAAGATACTCGAAAAAATTTTCTAGTCAATAGTTAGATTTTACCTCATTTCCCATCCTTTAGGTAAATATTGATTGTTTATTTTCTGATAATTCTGTTAGAAAAAGAAATGAATGAAACCAGAATCAAATAATAATACGTGTAATAAAGTACACATCTTTGCTTTTAGTAAGCAGTCACTGGATTAAAAAACTGGCCTTGATAATGCACGAAGATTTAGAATCTCAGTGGAAGAATCTTACTTTATTATTTTAAATTTTCTACAATTACCAGATTTTGAACTACAGGTAACTTTTTTTGGTCTAAAAGTTTCATGTCAGTAAAAAATTCAGGGGGAATTATCATATATTATCCTTAAAAAGATGGCACATACAATGAATTTAAGTGTATACCTCTATTATATGTAAATTTTTAAAAAAAAATTTAGACGAATAAATCGGGACTGTTAAAGGGATACATCAGAAAAATATGATAACAGTTTCTGGGCGAACCAATTCTGTATATATGAAACCATATACTTTTATTTTATAATTGAGGGATATTCCATCACAGTTATAAAAATACTTCATAATAAATACCCTAGATGGATGTTTCCATGATGTTTTCTTGCTGATGTGATCAACATAATACTTCTTTTTGGAATCAGGATCGACCCTTTCTTCCCAACCTTGTGGCAGATCGTCTGTAAGACAAAAAGTAAATTTTAAACTTTAAGAAGACTACTAAAAAGGACAATGTATGTTTCACATGAAGAACTATGCTTTCAAAAGAGTTGAATAACCTTCAAGATTGCTGCAAAAACATCGCCACTTTCTGCAGCTTAAGACATGATTTTTAAAGACTTTGGCAAGTGTGGCGCATTCGTATTACCAAGAATTGGAAAGAATGATAAGCTGGATGAAAATGCTATTCGGCAAAAGGTTTATGAATATCTTGATTCCTTATAATCACAAATGCATGTAATATATTATCCATGCAAGCATCTCCAAGCAAATTCATTGTTGCGATTATAATAAAGTATAAAGAAATACCATTATTGCATAGTAGAGCATAAAAGGCATGGGCAGCGATAAAGAATTAATAGGTCTACATGATCAAGAAATGTGTATATTGAAATGCATTTTTAATATTTTGAGTCAGCTGAAGAATATAATTTATAAAGAGTAACCACAAGTACTCCTGTTCAGGTACAGTTGAAATCAAAAATAAATTAGCAGTGCAATTAATATCAAATTGTGTAATCTAAATGAATGTAGTCAATCAATCAATCATCAGATTAGTAGTAGAATATTACCATTGAAAACTAGAGAACACATTTATTTACATTCTTCAAAAATTAATATCAAATTATTCCAATTTATAACAACTTACTTTGTCTATATTAGAATTATGTTTAATGGAATCTTCAAACAGACATCTGATAACAAACTCATACAAATAATAATTAATGAACTACAGAATTAAAATTTACTAAAGTAATTAAATATTCTCAATCATTTTTGTTAAGTATAAGACAAGTATAAGTATTCAATGCACATGAAATTTCAAGCATGTTTACAATTTGAAAATCAGAATATCTTGGAAAATTCACAAATTTTTCTTGCAAAATTACCTTATAGTGAATTAAATACAGAATGTCTCAACCTAAGAGAAGGAATTTTGAATATTAAAATATAACAACTGTTATTTTTGCAAATAAGCTCTGAAGGGCCACCGAAGAGTTTCCATTTAACTCACCTGTGGAAAATAGGCAAACCAATCACAATTAAGCTTTTTAAAACTTTCATGTATGATTTAAAATTTACCACATGAGAAAAATAGGCATTACATGCGCATGTAGATCTTTTCGAGCTTATGAGTCATGGTGACACATTCATCTTTTGCAGAACAACTTGGAAGCGCATTGAAAAGAAATTTGACCTATGAGCATTAAATTACAAGTTCTTTGTATGAACACTTAATCAAGGCGATGAGCGAGCTTGTTTTTATGCATTTAAGAAATGTGTTGATATTCCACGACTCAATCAAAATCTCTAGCGGGAACCACTGGTATATATAATAGCATAAGCGCAGTAAAAAATTGGTGCATGATTGAAGCAACATAGCTGAAATATTATTATTATGGAAAGGAGAATTATTCAGTTTCTACTACCATTCCGCAGGTTAATTAATTTCATGCCACACTACTAAAAAAACTAAGCCAAGATGAGTTGAATTGTAGCAATCTGCATAAAAACACGAATTATATACTTGATTCAGATGTTGAATGAGTCTTTCTTCTGTTAGGTCTGGATGGAGGTCGTAAGCCACGCACTGAAGCGAAATTGCAATTAAAAATAAAGCCAAAAGAAAGCAACAAACGAAACAGAATTTAAATGTTACTGCAAATAGTAAAAAATATTAAAGAAGAAATCAAAATATTTCAATTACAGACGACTTTTTAACAGCATAAGTACAGCATATAAAATTAAAATCTTTCAAAAATTTAGAATGATTCATTTCAATATTTTACAAAAATTCATTTTGTAAGTTTTTGCCCTGAACCATACAGCACAGGTGTACTGATGATCGACTGAAAGCTTGGTGAACCTTACATTATGTGGAATGCGATTTCGCTATTACATTACTATAAAAGTGCTTTGATGAATTGAATGATTGACTAATGCATTGACGAGGACATAAGTGAAATCTACATCACCCAAATTTATTTCATTTTTTCAGAAATAAAAATCTCGGAATGTGACAAATGACAACTTAGTGTGATCAATTTTAGGTAATAAGCAAGTTTTGAAAAACTATTGATCAGGTTAAATCGCAGATTACAAATCATTTATCCTGTGTACAACAATTCATTCATGACTTGCCTTCAAATTGTTCAGTTGACAATGTGAAAATGTAAGATTAGATTATTTAGCTGATCTAACAGTAACAGGTAACACCTGATTGCATAGTTCCGTGTTAGGTGTGATACAATTTTTCTCTAATTCTAAAATGTTCTGATATCGGAAATTCCATAAAAAAGAATAACATCTGATCTCAAAACAGCAATATAGATAAGATATCCATACCAATAATTATACACATTGAATGTGTGTTATTTGAAGATGTGAAATATTGTTTTGGCCGAATATACATTTTTGAGTAGTAGATGAAAATTAGTTATGTTGGATAAGTAATGAACAGAACTAAATAAGTACTATGCTGTATTTTCATATCTTCACTCTGAACAAGGATCTGAACAAGCAGCCAAAGCCGTTTCATAGTAAAGAACATATCAAATAGGAATTAAAGAAAAATCCAGCCAGGTAGTGGAAACTGGATTCACACCAAATACGAGAAAATGGTTAATGATCACCTAATAAGTCAACTACCACGATCATCAGCAATATACATTCCAGCCAATAATGGACTCGTATAACCTTTTGAGAACAAACATCATTCTTATTTGAACAGCACCATGTGAATAAGAAAAGCATCATCACTACTGGAAGTCAATTTGTCAATATGACATAATGTGTTTCAAGGGATTTCCACTACTGTGAGTTACCAATATTTGACTTTCAATAAAAATATTCAATATAATAAATTCTTCATGTTGAAATGATGTAAACTATTTGGTATTTGCAATCAAAAATGTACTTCAATGGAATTGCAATTTAATATCTGAACCAAAAATCTAATTCAAAAGATGACCGTTCAAAATTATTTAAAAATTTTTATATCAACTTTACTGATTCCTAAACACCAATCTCTCTACAACCCCCCCAAAAAATGACACCATCCCCCAAACCAGCATAAAACATAATGGAAAAATAGAAAAATGACCTTCCAAAATATATTCGAAATAGGATGTTATTTCTTTTTAGGCATTCCTCAAATCGCTTTCAATCCTGTCAACCATATGAGTTGACTTCCAAAAATGACTCACAACCTTCTATATATTCTTTTAGTATAAAATTATATATAAGAAACTTACTTTGTGGAACACTGGAAGATCTTGTTCTTGGTGGGCCAGAGCTTGATGTTTGTTCCGTATTGTTTGCAGTGGGAGTTGATGGAGATCCATCGACCTCCATTGGAGTTGGCGGTTCCTCTTCTTCTTCGGGTATCGTAGAATTACTATTTTCCGGAGTTCTAAAAAATGAGTTAATAAACTTTGTGGAACATTTCCACACAAGATGAAAAGATCCAGTTGGAAAATGGAGATTATTGCCATTTTGTGGAAATTTTGACCAAAATCGGAATTCGGACGCCTAGAACCAGTTATTTTTAGAATTGAAACTTGTCATTTTCATAAAATAACATACCAGTATTACAATTTCTAACTCCATAATGGCACCATTATGAAGTTGCCATTATCCATGCAATTGTGTATGCTAACAATGTTTTAACAAAGCAATCCACATAATAGTGTCACTGAAAAAATTCAAAGGACGAATACAATGTTCCTAGAATGATTATAATATGTTATTTCATATTTTCTTGGGGTTATTGGTTATTGAATGTCCTAGATTGGTTAAAAAGTGAGAGGTAATATATGCAAAAAATTATCAACGATTTGGAATTATTATAAATCATGAAAAAAGGAATATCCTAAAGGCCGATTACAAAAAATTTTGGTACGAAATATGAATAAAAATTAATTTTACTCATCCACTGGCATGTTTTGTTCTGGTGGAGGAGAATTGTCTGAATCGCTTCCATGAAGTACTTCCCACTAAAAAGAAAAGCGTTATGATAACATATATATTCTCAGTTTTAGAAAGATTTATGAATGAGGGATTGATTGTTATACAACAGAAAATCTGGTGTTTTTGAACACGAAGCTTAAATTTGAGTCGATTTGCTGAATAATTGTGATATTATTGGTTTTGTTGGGATGCAACGGATTGTTATTGTCGCGTTTTTTTACATAAATACTGATTGAAGAGATCTCAAACTGATGGGAATAGTTTTTTGACATTTGACCTTTGTGTCCACATATTAGATCATTGCCCACTTTGTTTAACTAAAGAACTTTTCTTCAAACCCAAAATATGAGAAACAAATCTATAGCTTGGAATTAACATAGGTATTCTTCCTACAAAATCATGAATCAAAAGTGAATTTCCATAAGTCTAGGACAGTGGTTTTCAACCTTTTTGGTGGAGCGGAACACTAATGAAACATATCAGAGACTCGAGGAAGCCCTGTGCGATAATTTAATTTTCTTTGATTGTCAACAAAACAAAATGAACTATAAAGTTTGGTCAGTTTAATAATAGGGGCAAACCTAATAAGATAACCCAAGGCAGTGGTTCCCAACCTTTTATGGCTCGTGGGCCCCTTCCGCCGCCCCTTTGCACTTGTGGCCCCCCTGTTCGCCATTCCAAAGTACTGAACGTGTTGGATTGTATTGTTTTTACGACCTATTATGGAATGCAAAAGCATTTTGTGTTGATGGTATTATTATCAGAAAAACCGTAACCAGGCTTTTCCTCCGACAGAAACCCGAACTTGTCCAATATTGCTTTCCTGTCAGTGTCAAATCTAACTTCTTTGGCAGCAAAGAAACCGATGCCCACTTCTTCCACTGGTGGATGATTTTTGTCACGATGGTTTTGGAGTTTAAATGGACGTAATAATTTATTGCTCTTTACATACGAGCAATGCAAGCATTGAGCACATTCTCTGCCATCTCGATTTACTTTGGTAAAGCCAACTTAACTGTCGTTCCATTCTCGTATTTTGGGCATTAGGAATTTACAACTGGGTTCTTGCGTCTATAATACGATATCAAAGTTTATCTCGCAGTCTAGTGGAACTGCCAGTCTGCAAGTTAGACAGCCTACTGGTATACTATTTTGATTGGTGGATTCCAAATTTCATTGTGATCAAACAATTCACGCTCAAAAAAGTGAATACACCCTGTGATGGCAAATAACTTATTCAGGTAATGAAACTGCGATAAACGCCTGAACGGGAAATTTTATTTTAAAAGGAAAGAATGCAAACAATGTCGCTCTATAACCAATTATTAGCCTTGTGTCGTGGCCCCCCTCAAACTGCTCCGTGGCCCCGTCAGGGGGCCATCGGCCCCCGGTTGAGAACCACTGACCTAAGGTATTTGATTATATTTAAACAATATACATATATTAATATAACCTCTTGGATTTGAATGTAAGTATTGACGGAACCCCGGTAGCACAACCATTCAACTTCATTCTCAAATTATACCAGTGAACGAAAAATATTAAGAATACAAAACTTTAGACTAAAAATTAAACAAGAATAATCATTATCCTGTCACCTGATCATCTATGTTTTGCCTTCTGGGGCTTCTGGATAAATCTTCACTGATGTGTCGCCTCTGTCGAAAGTGTGCTGCAGCAGTGTTGGTAGAAATTGCTGGGCTTGCATTGTCGGTCGAAGTAGAAGTACTAGCCCTTTGGGAAGATCGTGTACCGTTGTTTATCGAGCTGCTAGACGACGAGGTTGACATGCTGAAAATAAAGACCCAGACTAATGATGGAAATTAAAGCATTTGCAATATTGACGTAATTCCTTATTCTGATTTTCATTATTCAGATTCTCAATTTTTCAAATTATGAATCCAGATGACGTCTAAAAATAGAAAAAATAAGGTTCGAATTATAATAATATCAACTTACGCAACTGGCCTATGCCACTGGGTTGTTCTTGTAGTGTGATTAACATAATACGTTCTACCAAGATGGTCCTGTCTTTCCTCCCATCCTGATGGCATCGAGGTTTCGTTTCCCTCGACCATTTCCCAGTCGTTCTGCAAAGTTAGCAATGTAAAATAAATAAGACAGATGAGCAAACATGGACTGGTTGACCCTAACAGTGGTAATTCAATAAGAGGTTAACCCAGAGGTCGACCAGTGAAACGTGAGACTTAAGTTTGTTGAAATTGCAGGTTACACATTTCAGATTCAAATCCCACACCCACTGCCTCCCCCTTGGTGTAAGAAATTGGAGGGTGAGGAATGCCATTGCCGACTGATTGCAAAAAAGGCTTGTTCGAGGCGAAAGCGAAAAGGAACCTCCTATAAAAAGAAAAAGGTAAAAAGAAAAGGCCAGCGATGGATCAAGTTTTAATTGCCCTGATAATTTGTCAAAATACAGTTCGCAAATAATTCAACCTTATTCAAATTATTCCAATCTATTTTTTCCTACCATACAGTTTAATTTTTATAATATAAAAACTTAACAACCTCTTGTGGAGGTGTTTCTTCTTGTGGTCTTGTCCACGTTTCATCAAGAATGTATGTGAGTTTTAACCTGAGATGTCCTTTCACCCTTGATTTTGAACTGAAATATATAATCGATAAAAATTCAATTAATTAAACAGCAATACTTTGCAGAGTCTGATGACATTCCCTAATCTTTTTATATTGAATTAAACTCTACGATTTTTAACTGAAATTTATTTCAAAAAGTCTTACGTAATTTGAAGTATTAAAAATTGTGAATACCACCAGTGATGGGGAAATTCTGGGTAGATTACACTTTTGAAAAAAGTTGGCAGATAAAGCAATTGCTCAAAAACGATCTCGGCATTAATGAAATTGAAATTTTCGGATTTGAGATTAATTATTTCATTTATTTCTATAAAGCCCTCATTCTGAAAAGGTAGCAAAAAATTGCTGCTATTTTTATGTATTTCACAGTTACATGCATGTCAATTATTATTAGTTGAAAATTACTACATGAAAATTAGAATACAGTTCAGCCAGTGCATAAGTTCAAAATTAGTTCATTTTGACTTTAGCAAATTCAATGACATGTGAAATCTGAATAATGAAGTCAAAAATTTACTAAAATACAAATCTGATCAATACTTGAACTCTTATGACTGAAATATAGAAAATACCGTTTAAATAGCAAACTAACCTTCTTGGGCGAAGTGGAAACTCCTTGAATGGTGAATTTTCATTATTTGGATCTTCAAGCTAAAAACAAATAGCACATTTTGAGTTTATTAATGGTAAATAAAGATGGCATATATATTTCTGGATACCCCATTATATAATAGTGTTTCAGTTAAATCGTAATAGCACCTATATATCCATCCCTATCCCAATGTTATATATAAAGTACCCAGAACATAATCTAACTTAGCATGATGAAAACACAATGGAAAGGCCGCCCAGTATTCAGAGAATAGTCTCAAATTACATGCATAAAATGTATGTCTTTCCAGGTGAAATAATTCCAGTGCATGGATCAATATTACAAAGCTATTAAATATCATTTATCATAATTTAAAAACGTGCGAGTTGATCAGCTGTTCAAGCGAACTATGCATAACAGCATATAGAATGACACACAAACACATGCAGAAAACAAAGTCTGCGTAAACATATTATATGACTAACAAAATTATGGTTAATACATAGACAGCCAACACAATATGTAATTGACGGGGTGACTCATTTTCAAAAGCACAACCTCAAATAGGTTATAAAAAATAGTTATCATTATCCTCTAGTTACGGTATACAAAAAACAATTAATGATAAAAGAATTTAATGATCTTACAAACTAATGTGATAAGCCAATCATATCTAGCGTAATAGGAACATATGTACACATATATGATATATATATGGTGGATTTGTCGTCCCGTAGTGCCCCACAACATTACCATATATTTTATATCTACTAAGTAAGACTTGTGTGTAACTTTAGTGCAGTTTTGTTCAGCCGACATAAAGCAACTCATTGGACAATGATACGAAACATTTTGCTGGCAATGTAAAAATATATTACAAATCTTAACTTGCAAAATATCTGGAATTGTCCCGTAGATCACTTGGTATAGCCCATCCATAATGTACATAAATATCATGCCTGGTACAATATGTAGAACAATATAAACAGAAATGGCCAAATACAAATAGTTACTTTCTTATAAAGTTTTGCAAGCTGTTTGCACAACAAAAAATTAAAATGGAGTCCTACCACTAAAATCTAACAGAATCTCAAGCAAGACAACTTACTGTTATGTATCCTTGATTAACAGGTATATCAACTTGGCCCAGGAAATCGTCTCTAGTCTGAAAAAGAATAAATTTTGAATGATAAGATCTGTTTTATACATAGTTTTCACAACAAAATGTATGTCGATAAATGGCAAAATGTTAATAACAATACATTACATATAGTCAAGGCTTGTTCAAATCAAACTTAAAAACAAATTATCGAAAAGCATAATGGGTAAGGGCATAAGTTATAATAACATAAGATAAATTATTATCTAACAGTATTGGGAACTGCATAACAAAACTGCATACAATTTTTACTTTAATATTATACCACTTGCAGTCTACATAAAAAGTACGAAACTCCGAACTTACATAAAAATTAAAGCAGTTTGCTTAGCAAATATTTATAAAAGAAGCCGTAAGAGTTCACTGAATCACTGGCTTGCACAGCAAATACAGAACAGCTATAAAGTTAATGTTCTGAAGCCACTGGGGCTAACCAAGCTACTGAAAAATTTAAAACAATTCGACATATTTAACAAATAACAAATATACTGCGTGTTCACTTTATATAAGCTGAACCATTTAGCTACGGAAGGTTATTCCCCTTACGTTTTATTCAAAAAAAGTGCGACTATATAATCAAAGCATATTGGGAATAATATCATTTTGCATGGTAAACCAGCAGTCATGCGTGCCCTGTTGTGATTTGAAGGAATCAATTAATTATAATACTGAATCACCTCAGTACTGTAAACAGCAAAAAAATAGGTAATCAGTGATGCAATGCAAAAAATGTTCATAGGGCATAGCTGAACAAGGATTACGGTAATCATGAAAATATACCAATCTATATTCGATCTATATCCGACTTCCATGCACATACATTTATTTGCACCAAAAACTGTGACTATTGTGTATTGTCGATGTACAGTACACTATACAGTGTTTTTATATTTTGTCTATTGTGCTAAGGTTTTACTTGTAAATTTTCGCTATTTTAATGTATAGTGTCCTATTAAAATGTAGTGATCCTAACTGCTGGTATATTTATAAGAAGAACATGTTGCAGAATTCTTTCTTGTGCCAATAAGGTCTTGTTCATGTATCTCATCTATGCCATGATTGCATTTATTATAATGCAGATGCAACTACAATTGAGGCAAATAAACATACGTAAAGCTTTCAAGTCATTAGTAATGTTGGTTGATAACTTTTAGCAGAAAAATAAGACTCATTTTCATGAAAATTGTCCTGAAAGAATTAGTAACCAAGACTAAGAGTAAGCATATGAACATTTGCAAATGACATCCTCCAGGTGTTCAGCAAGGTATATTATTATTCACTATAATACTGAGTTGAATCTGAGTCATGATATTTCAAAAACAAGCATCTCTTCAATCAGCTAAACCTACTACATACACAATGATATCCACAGTTCACACATAGTGTTAGCATACAAAAGCAAATCGAGAAAGTAGGACAAAGCAAAAGCTCTAATTGTTTGATATCATGGGTTTGGTCATTAGTTTGAATAAGACAGCCATCTAAACATAGCCAATACTTTAAAGCTGAAATTATCAATGAAATAATAATGCCCATAAATCTAACTAACTATCATAATTAAATAGTGATTCCAGGCTTTCCAGCAATAAGAGGAATCATCTTTTATTAATAGATAATAGATATAATATTAAAATTTCGCAGATTCCTTCCATATTGTTATTAGTAAGATTGTTTCATACTTTAAATTTTTTTTATGATTCCAATTAGATTCAGAAAAAGAGCAAAAATAGCAGATAAAAATCATAAGAAACATATATTAATTATATCCTATTTAGTTTAAACATATATATGCACTTCTTTTTCTAATATATATACAAGATTCTAGAAATTAAAGTTTATAAAATAAAATTCATAATTACTGGTAATTACATTAGAAAAATAGAAAAAAAAATAATCGATAAAAAATAAAAGTAGAAATTTGAAAAACGGAAACAATGTTTATACATGAAACCTGCCCTCATCGTGAAATAATTTTTGCCGTGTCAATACCCCTGAAAAAATCCTAGAATATCTAGTTACTTGTTTATGAACACCATTTACATTCACAAGTTCTTATTTGAGCTGATATGTTTATAATGATGGGATCCAAATATTGAATCGACTCAAATCAGAAAATTAATGATTGGAAATGGTGCAAAACTATGCATAATGTATTTCCAGTCAAATCTAAAAAAGTCAAGTAAAACCAACAATTTTATAAAACCGAAACTTTTAATTTAGAGAAGCAGACATTTGTTGTAGAGTTATTTGCAGTGAGATAATCTCAGACAAAGTAATACTGTGTCAAATAGAAATCATGCTTGCTCAACTTTAACCAAGTCTATAAGTCCGAAGCCCTGTCATTTTGTATTGAAGCAACTCGTAAATTATTCAAAGACACTGTGATTGAATAATGAAAACTCACATCTAATCCACTTGCATAGCAAACAATGCATTCAAAAATCCTCATGGTGGGAGATATCAAATTAGGTTGCCTAAGAATATCAAGTCATTGCACTTGTTTTTACATGTCCTAAAATCAATTAATGTCTATGTAGTTCTTCTTCTGTTGTATTTATAAAAGAAATGCGAAGAATTCTTGAAAATGAGAACTAATTAAATATTTTTAAACAATCAGAAAGTCACTTAGGCCTTCATTTAATTTTTGAGTGAATTATTCCAATGCCTTTTTTTTAATATCTGCACAATCATAAAATCATTTGTTGGAAACGTCTGTTATAAGTTGAAATAGTGTGCATCATTTATTACAACCAGGGTGATGAAGCCCGTGCCTACTGAATTAGCCAGGACTTAGACACACTTAAATTGTGAATGGGGGGAGCATAACAACAATCTTATAAAAATATTGCCAAGGATATATTACATATTGTGTTTTTTTTTTCAACTAGAATATTATCTTATAGCCAATTTCAAAAACCACATCACAATATTAGAACAAAGCATAACATTTTTTCTATATTCAGTTGTATTGAAATATGGTACATCATTCAACAGATAGTGGATGGCAAAACAGAATTTAATACATTATTTCAACATAAAGTTTGAAGTGTTTATCTGACAGCTGTTCTTCCATTTTAAAGGGTATTGGGAGCATGTTTTATCAAAAAAACATATTTTGTCAACTATAAATTGCAACCATATTGCTCTGCTGGAATAGTGGATGTCAAGTTTTTAATTAAGATTATTAATGAATCCATCATCAGAACCCAGTATTTTCAACCACGCCATACTTTTGCAACCAACAAATACTAGGCCAACCATGGTTAGTGGATTTACAACTATTTGATATACAACCACAACGGTTAAATACATTGACAACTAGAGGCCGTCATAGACATTGACGTTTTTTTTACATTTTTTATAACAGTGCGTCGTCAGCACTTCTCGGCGCAACCGGGAACGCAAAAACGAACGTAACCACGATATTATATATTATACAAATGAATGTAATATATTTGGGCAAAACACACCGCTGATATCCTCATATGAGCAAGTATATTGTTGACTTAACAGTTTCTCTGGTGGCAAGAACTTACTATTACCGATTACTGTATTATTTGGTTTCGGATAAATGACGAGCCCGCCTTGCGCTATTTTGAAGCTCCCGTAATTTTTCATCACAAACAAGGGCATCCATCGCTCACGCTTGATCGATGTGAACACGTACAACTTCTTGGCAATACCTTCTATTTTATATTCTGTAAGTTTTAAATCTTATCTAGGGTTTTGTTTGCTCTCCTGATTACATAATCAGTTTTTATTTATTTATTTTTATCAAACATTTTATTGCCAGTTATGCTGAAATAAACTTATACTTATTATAAGTATAACACATAAAGCAAAACCTTTCCCAAATATTTAACGAAGTAACGCCGACAATAGGTGAGAGATACTCGGTGGCCAACAAGAGATCGTTTGCCGTATAACATAAGTGAATTATTGTAGCTTGGTAAAAAAAAACACGTCACATTCGGTTCTACGATGTTAGCATGTTACATGTTACTGCGGAATTCCAATAAATTTAAACGAGAAGTCTGGGGCACAATAAACAGATGGAACCAACAATGAACCGTACCATCGCCTATGGCTATATGAACGAGTAATTGTTTGCACTCGTTATAAACGAAAAATCGCGAAACGAAATATTGTAAAATATTTAAATTACGAAGAAACTAAAAACTGATTTTATATTTACTATGAAATCGAGCAAAAATGAATTAATTTCCAATTTGCCGCTATCTAATATTTTGCTATGGATTTCTTCATAATGTGTTTTGCATTTAGACTTATGTCAAGATTAGCTGCTGATATAGTCTGATATAACTCGATAATATCGGCTATAGATGTTTACAATACATTTTGAAAGACTTCTGGCGAAATATCGAAAAGTCATTAATCATAATTTTCGAGACTAGTGGGCTAAAAACATGCACGGCATAAGTTACAGTACAAATGCCGGCTTGGCGAATAAACAAAATTGCCTTACGCCTTACATAAGTAATACAAAAAAATCAAAAAAAGCGCATCCTACTATAGATGTGAAACAAGTAGTACATAGGGGAACTACTACTCGTGATAATATTTAAATGTTTCTAAATTTTCATATCATTCAGAAGTCGCCATTAATCGAAATTAATTACATAAAGCATGCGCGTGTACAATATTAAGAAATTTGCTGTGAATTACAGGGACAATTTAATCCACAAAAATATGGAGCAGTAGGCCAAAAAGGAAATAAATAATACCGATAGAAGCGAGGAAACTACGTTCTACGATTGACATTCGTAAGACTACGTTAGACTTTTTGCTTTTACACACATTCACTTTTATGACGTGATACGAAACGTGATAATTCATCAGGTGACGCCAACACATTACGCGAACTAATCAGTTGACGTATTCCCTTTGGCCATGGATTGAAATCAGTGTCCAGGCCTCAGGGCTTGGCCTAAACTATTGCTCTATGTGAAACCGGTTGTAAATTAGAATTGGCGCTTAAAATTAGCGCGGGACAAGTGGAAGAAAGGGGCCCATCGCGGTTATATAGGTTGCAGTGACCTAAGGCCCAAAATCATGATTTTCAAAGTACCGTAATTTTCAATTTAGGAGTCTTGACCTATACATTATTTTAATATATAAAGAGTAAATTTAAGAATTTGAACCAACAATTAGCTCTGAATCCATGCAAGTGGGGGACCCAGCAGCCCATGGTCGGCACTGCAAAGCCTTATTAACATATTGAATAAAACGTCACGGGTTGATGATAGACTGTGACAGAAGCGCTTCGATCACAGCAGGTGTTACAGACACGCTTACCCATTTTTGAATGTTTAAACAAGATATAGCGCGAAAGGGATCGTAAATCAATACTACCGTTCACCAATATTTTTAATTATTTCAAAATTAATTTAGTAGTCTGAACAAGAACATGGGGGAGTTAGTGATCCTAAACGCCACATATTAACAGGTTATAAATAATCCAACATTATCACGAAATATCCAGATATCCAAAAATACATTTTGTCTCAGTATATGAGAAATTCCAATCCCAAATTCAATGCAGAATGCGAGGTGTATTACATTTTTAAATAAACTTAACTTGGCATGTTCAAATGCTGGTAATCCCCACACAATTTGAGACGCAGATGTGATACGTTAAAAATAAAAACACGACGCAAAAGTGAGTAATTGACAATTTAAAGTTTAAAAACAAGTATTTCCCCAGAAGGAAGATAGATTTCATCGGAATAACTCCGGAAAAATACTGCAACTTTTCCTCACGAGACTCACGTGAGACTAAATCACAACTTGATTAACATCACGTCACACATCATCTAAACTAAATTACGTCACAGGCGACAAAACGAAGCACGTGACGTGACGTTAATCCCACACAAAAACAATTCATGATTCCTCTGTACATTAAATAAAACCGAACATACTTTTATTGATATTGGAACATAAAAACGCAATGCAAATATTTCAAACTACACAAAGGTGTTTATCCCAAACTATGATAGATAATACTATTTTGAATGGAGTGACTCATCAACATGCCTGAAGCAGGCAACTTCTAAAAAGAGAGAGAATTTTAAGTGGCAACGCCCACCCTACACCAGACGAAAGTTTTGGGGACTTTTAACAACAAATGAGAAGTTGGAAAATTTTGAAATTATACCAGTGAATTTACGGAGATTAGATTAGAACATACAGACAATAGTTTTTCGAAATCTATATGAGTAGTGACTGAATGTTTAAGTTACATAAAAATAAGAAGTTGAAAAAAAACATTCTCCTTTCTTGAAAATGCTTAAATTCAGCAAACCCATTATAATGCATGAAATGAACTTTTTTACAAAGAACTGGTATTAAACTCAGACAAAAAATTTGAAACATAAATAATATTTATGTCGCTAATGAAAGCATAGTCAAAAATATGTCCCTGAGGCAACAGACTGTTCTTTAATGTGAGGTATGCTTGCATATATAAAGAATATAGTCTTATCCTGTTCTTGAATATTATGCACATAGAATAAAATAATAGATAGATAATTATATTAAGTTGAAAAAATGTTGAATAAAGTACACTGCATTTAGATAACAGTCTAAATTGGAAATTTATACTCAAATATCAACAATTATTAAGACTTTACAAAATTGAAGACTGCGTCACTGAAATATTTTTCACATCCAATCTAGAAGTCATTATCTGGTAGAATAGTGAATATGAACAATAAAACCCACATTCTTAATGCTTTTATGTCAGAATAAAAAATATACGATTCACAATACTATCCATATTTAAGGTTGGTTTCACCAATTTTAAATGTAGTTGTTAATAAAGCTTCTGTTGGTAAATTACAAGATCAGAAAATATTTCCAGCATCAATACCATGGGTGATGAACCATGAGCCACCAAATATGTTGAAAACACATTATCTTTAACTGACACTGAAAACGTGTCATAAAATACCATGTATCATAACTGTCATTCAAAATGTATGTTAATTTTATATTAAATCTAAAGTTACCTTTTTGAGCAAAATTATATCTATCATATTACATTTTCAGGTGGCACACCATGAAGGCTTATTTGTTATTTTGAAATAAGCTTGATAATTTCTGATGAGATATGCACAATCTAATCATTTGGTAATTCCCTAGTATGGTGTATCACTGTCGCAGCTCCTGAAGTGGTCTTTCACAGTTTGATTTGAGCTGTACTTCATTACTGTTTGGTGTAAATACGTATCTTCTATTTTACGAAATCCTTCATAGAGCATCATAGCAAGCTTCCACTACGGGTCCGTTTACACTCAATAGTTAGTCGTCAAACCACATTGATTGTCACCAATGCTGTGATAACAACATCACTAACACTAGCTCCTATGCTCTATCCGAGTAAACTTCTCTCAAAACCTTCTATATTAGGTGGAAAGCACACATAGAATACCCGTGCTCGTTCCAACACACCTAACCATCACAAATACTGTTCTGATTTTCAACTGAAGCAAGCAACAGTACAAGACTACATTTGGATTGGTCATTGATTGTGGGCAATCAAAAATATGAAAACTAAGAGCTATTCAAATTGGCTGCTAAATAGCCATCTAGACCAGGTTTTTCATTATTATACCTCAAGAGTCAAGAGCTATATTGTACTTTTTCTTTACGTAAAAAGTACAATATACAAGATAGCAAGAGCCAAGGAGAGCATTTATTATTGCTATGTTTTCCTTTTCCATAAGACTGAGTGTGAAATTGGATTTTTTACACATCAGACGCTCATCTGTTGTTACTACTATTATGCTATCATGAAGAGAGCGAGAGAGATTTATTCCACCAACCAGAAAAAACAGTCATACCAATAAAAAAATACAGTATAGACTGGAACTGGAGGGAGCGATACGACCATGCGGTCATCGGAGAGAGCTCCCCTCCCTGAATACATTTTTAAAATATTTTAAAATCCTAAATAACAGATAAAGGTATCTAAATACAGCAGTAAAGTCCCCTGTATAAATTTTCACATAATCAATATATACACTATAATGAAATTGAATTTTATATTTAACATAATTTGATAAAAACCTATTTTTGATCCGACCCTGATATTGATAATTATTGAATAGGGCGATTTCATAGAACTAGAGACAAAGTAGAAAAAAATCAAAATGATCAATCCTGCGTAAACAAATATTTTCATAGAACATATCTTGAAGTTCCGAGAAGTTATTTATTACACACTAACACACCTATACGGATAAATAAAAATGTGACGGTTATGGAAAGTTAGTGATGCATTGACCCCCAATTTTGACATCATAAGTCATTGATACAAAACTGAAGTTAGAGGCTCAATCATGAAAAACCATAAATTATTTTATATTTTGGAGTGGTATCAACATTTCCAAAAAAATATCAAATTTTTAATGTCTTCATTCCTTTATTGTTTGTTGAATATTATACAGGCTAATTTTAATCTTTATTTTACAAGCCCATATTTTTGAATTGCCAATTTGATCCCGAAAAATAATTTCATTTCAGAATTCATCTGTTAATTATGGATTCATAACTTAGCAAAGTAAATTCAATGTGATTACAGTAACTTTAAATGTTATTAATTATTGATTAAATATCAGATGTTTCAAAATAAAACATGAAACAGACCCTGATTGCAGCGTACCACAAGTAACGGTCCGTTTTTAATTCAGACTGGAAGTTTTAAAAATTGGCTAACAGTATTCACCTAATTTTATGAAATTTAACAACCTGAATATATATTCTCCATTGACATAGGAAAGGGTAGTTGATTGGTTACAATATCTTGAGATAGGGAACACCTCAAAGTTTCACTAAAAAATTTCCTTTTTCGTAACCGTGTTTAACGGCTCGTCTATATGAAAGTGGTCCATAGTTTTCCTGTCTCTATGGTTTCTATGTTACAGGCCCAAGGCCATCTACAACTAGAAACACTAGAATTTAAATGCTTGTAATTGTAATAGTCTCTAAGTTAAACCTGTTTGATATTAAAATATTCGCCCTGATGTCACGAAAGTAACCCTGGAATTACCTAATAATGAATCCAATGATAGCTCTGTAAATCAAAGATTCCAAAAATGTAAAACAAAATTCATTATAATTTTGTTTATATTAGATGAATCTATAACATTTAAATTTGAAAATTTATAGCATTCTCGAAACCAAAGTAGCCTACAACTTCAAAATAAGCTCTCCTGGTATTTGAGATCATTTTCGCAAACTAAAAAAACACCAAATAGCAAAATATTTAGTCAATTCGAAATACAACTCACCACTCTGTTTTCATCAAAAACTTCAAACAGTAGTCTGTTTTCCTTTGGTACCACCTGATAAAGTGGAAGAAACAATTAAAATTTGACGAGAGCATATGGGATACAAGAGAGTGCGAAACTGGTCCACAAAAATATTCTGTTTCTGATTCTTTGACATCATTACCTCACTTCCATTTTTGTTTATAGTCTTATTATCAGCATTTGAATTATAAGAAGTGGGCATGGCTTAGATTCAGGCAGCAGGTTCTAAGACATACCGTTCCAATTCTAATATACCAAAATCACATGATGTGAGCAAGATTTGCCTAATTTCAATTGATTCTTAAAACCTTGCTTCTGTTCAAACAAATTTTGATGGTTTGTTGTAATTGCAATGATCACAACAATAAATCAAGTTATTAGTTAAACTTCTCAGAGTGGATTAACAGGACACATAATTTAGTTTTACCATTTAAAAATGAAATTATTGTCCAAAATCAGTCAGAATCTCAAACAATCAATACATCACTTGAATGCTATCGGAGCATCCCATATAATACTTACTCTAAAAGTAAATTCTTCCTCCCATTTTGGATTCAAGGTCTAAAAATATCGGAAAATAAAATGAAATGGTTATCAACTTTGCTACATAATATTATTCTGAGACATACATAATAGAGGGAAATTGAAGTAGCATAATTGGCTGTGATCTATTATTTTTATTCAGAAAACCGAATTATATTGAACATTAAAGTGTGTACCGGTAAATAGAATAACGTGAAAGTGAATCAAATCTCAAGATTAAGTAAGGAAGTGATGAGTGCCTATTAGAAAAGTTTGTTTTGTCGACTTTCAAATCCAAGCAAGTTCACCGTTACAATCCTAATTTAAGTTGAAAAACACATTGAATCATATTATGAAACTGGGTATTATCAACATTACAATTGTTACCGTAGATCTTTCTTTCGCCAATATCAAAATATTTGACTAGTTTGAATGTTATTTCATATTCCATAATAGTAATTCTTATGCAAAATTCAGAAAATCAAAATTCAGAAAACAGCTAACTCTAATCCATGATAAACAAGATTTTAAACCAGTAGTAATGTTAAAGTAAATGACATTTTAAAACATAAAATACATAGTCTACATAGTTTTATGTAAAAAGTCATTGATCCTGATCTGCGGGGAAAGAAACCTAAAATGAATTCATATTTCATGAGTTTACTGACCCCAGTTAAACATTGCGTTATGACTATTGTAAAGTGATGTGGAAACATCTATCAAATACTAGGAATCATATAAATCAGAGGAAATTTCGTACTTTTTTCTTTGTTTTGGTTGTTGCAGTTCCATAGCTTTCATAGGATTGCCCGAGTGATATTCGCTTTGGTCGATAGAGAGATACCTTCACGTATGGATCACTAAAATTATTAAAATCAATGATTGATTTCGCATAATATTTGTATGACTAATGTAATAATGTATATTTCTTAAACCCTCTTTGGCCAATCCACTTCAATCACTCACTAACGATCTACTCTTGTCTGATTAGCAGAACGCTCATCTCAAGAGTCATTTATTACACACAAGATTTTAAGCAAAAAGTACTTGACACCTTTCTTAGAACAAAGCTCAGATCCTTAAAATATGTCAAAATCTCTACCATAATAATAAAAAATAGTAATTTGCAGTAGACATAATGAAGAAACAGATATGCATAATAGGAGAAATTAGTACCTGGCACCAAATATATCCTTCTTAGCAAGATTATGACCAGATAAGACTTTTACTCTCACCAGTCTGTGGACATTCAACTGAAAATAAATCGAAACATGTTATGAGTTGCTATTTTCTCAGCACAGCCATATACACACACAATACAGCGAAGATTGCTTCAACAAATTCCTTTAATGAAGAAAACCAAAACCACTTTCTGTATATAAGATAAATTATATGACAGGAGAAAGGAGTGGTTTGATTTTGGTGCACTTTCGAGAACAAAATAGAAAAGATGTCATTACTAACTGTGCCACTGGTTTCATTTTGCAAAAAAAGGAAAATTCTACTAGATATAATGTTAAACTATATGGCTATAATAAAATTGATTTGTAATTGGGATATATCCAAAAAATAGTATTTTGTGTACATTGAACAGAGTCAATTATTGCTGGTATATCTCATCATGGTGAATGAAAATTTTTATAAAATCATGATTTCATAATAATATCAATCTTCTATTATGGTATGTTTGTTTTAAAAAACATTAGTGTGAGAATATTGAATTTCCAATATTTTAATTGATAAACAATTATTGTTTATTTATATGTTTATAAAAAAAATCAGAAAATATAAGAATACCTGGTGGTTTTTATGTCCATATATTACTGAATCAGATGAGGCCATACGAAGAAAATGAAGATGACTTATGCAAGCTCAATCAGTACAGTGTCCTAACTATTAATCCTACAAAATCTTGAGTTTATGTACCAGCAGACAGTAATATTTATATAACTATAAGTTAGCTGTATCTACACAAAAAATTACAGGATTTTACACTTAACTATGTCATGCATCATAACAAAACAAAAAAGCAGCATAGGCCCAAGAGACATTTTAAGTTCTGAATAATTTATTGAAATCCTGAATCTGGCATACATGCCAGACAGAAAACTTTTTTATACAGCACTTTTATAGATAATATCAATCATTATTGCAATGTAAATATCCCAATTTGATTTTTTTATAGCAAATAAAGGCAATTGGTGTATAAATCACTGAGCGGAATATGTCCCTCGCTCTTTGGTCAAAATATTTTTCATCAATGCAAATTAGGTCAACTTGAAAGACATTCAAAACAGAATACAACTTATGTATTAATGACAAGCCTGGAGCAAACGGATGATTGAAAAGGAACAAAATGTGAGACAAAACAAAAAAGCAGTGTTTGTAATTGGCAGTGACTAAACTTCAACAAAACGAGGAACTACGGTACGTTGTGTAAACATATGGCAAACATAAATCCCACTAAATTATTTGATTTGAAATATACAATTCTAAATTATGTATAGCTAACATATTTACAAAGCTTTTTTAAACATGTCATGAATCGAAGTTTGAATACTCATAATTTAGAAACAATATTGTAGTAACTTCCTCCGTGATTTAAAATTGAATAGTATATTCAATATTCTTTCACAGCAGCTATAACAGAATATGTCGATCACATTGAAAGAACCCAAGTTATCTCTCTCACTGGTGCCAGGAAACGTGTTTGTCTTTCCCAAGTATTTTTCTCTATGTCATAAGCTTCCACTGGTTCTCCAAAAAAATTGGTCCCCCATATTCCAGAAACAGCATATATTTTGTTGTCGTGTACGAATCCATGACAATAGTTTCTAGGCATTGTCATTTGCAAGATGTCGGTCCATACACCAGTGATGGTATCATAGAATTCAGCATATGATAGAACAGTTGTATTTTCACCTCCAATAACATAAATCTTGTCATTATAAGTCACCGCAGCAGCACCATATCTAGGAGTCTTCATTGATGCAACTCCTTGCCAATGCATTGTCTTCAGATTCAATTTCTCAACAGTGTTTAAAGGTGTTTTTCTTAGCAGACCACCACAGCTGTATATGCTATGACCAACAGCAGCCAAGGCATTCATGTCTTTTTCTTCAGACATATCAGGTAGAGGTGTCCAACGATCCTCTGGGACAGAGTACTTCTCACCTGATGCTGTAGTTTTCCCTGGTGATTCATTTCCCAATCCTATAACATAAATTGCACCATCATGTGCAATAGCAGGTGGTCTTGCACCATGATCTTTAAGCATACTTGACACCTTTATCCACATAGCATTTGGATCCTTCGTATATTTGAGTCGATATACTGACTTATCATCCGACAAGATGAATATATACGGATCAACATAAACAGCACTATAATTATCACAACCACTGATGGCATCACTGCTTACTATCTCTGTTTCTTCCCAAACCTTTCTATGGCCATCATACTCTCTGATGAATTCTGGAGATCCATCAAGAACCACAACTTTGTTTTGATAGGATGGAGCAACTGTCTGATCACAGCTCAAAGAAGAGACTTTGAGATGAGATTTGAACACAGACAAAGCTGTTTTAGTTAGACTTTCTGAGCTCGAATTGATGAGAACTTCATTTTCAACAAGATGTCTTCTATAAGGCAAACCCATGAGATTCAGATCAACAAGCTGTAGTAGTTCTGGAAACAGCTCTTTTCTAGGCTTGATGTCATATTCAACCCACTTTATGATTGCATCACAAACTTGTTCTTCACGAGTATCCTTATTTTTCTGTGATGAAACCAAATAAATCAAATACTCTGATTCAAGTTGCAGGAATGCAGTAGTTTTCATGATCGCAACAAAGTGATCAATAGCATACTTGTCACATTTTTCATCCAAATCCTTGAAATCATATTTTCTGGCCAATTGCTTCGAAATGAAAACATTCTCTCTGCTCATTTGTTCAGTAAGATGTTTCAATATGTTAGTCACAAGTCTATGAAGTTGGAAAACATCAGCAGTGTGGTAGACTTCTAATATATCATCGTTTTCAAATGATGCGATACCAGTGTAGATGTAAGCAATGCATATTCTAACAGCTTTGATTTGAACATCTTGGATTTCAACTGTTCCCTCCATGCTTTCTTTTGTGTCATGGCTGAGCATTGCCCGAAAGTAATCAGAATTTGCAGCAATAACATTTTTGTGTACAGGAAGCTTCTCCTCTTCAACTACTATAACAAAATCACAATAAAGCCCATATTCTCTCAAATTATTTATCCTTTCCAGTGAGGAAGACTGGTACTCGCTGTCCGCTATAACAACTTCCATAATCAAATTTTAATCATCCAATAACAGACTGAAGATATGAGTTTTCAGTATGAATTACATTGAAACTTATATATACAGTTTTAAAATTTGATCTCAGTGATTTAAAAGTGAAGAACACGCTACTCAGCTAGTAAAGATGAGACAATGTATGTAGGCTATATGATACCGTACTAATATTATATTAAATTGGTATTTCTTTCCTTTTAGCAACCATATCAGCTGCAGCCTGCAGGCATACAAAAACGCCTCTCATAAATTCCATTGTTAAATATAAATCAAATCAAACGCAAAGCTCAAATAAACAGTAATGTATCCCAATTCTCAGTATTCATGAGAGTGTTCGAAGTTGCGGTACAAAGCATTAATTATGGAATTTGAGTGTACAATTTTTAGGTGACCCAATATCTCAAACACTATAATTGTTACTACAATAATATATTCATTTTTATGAACTATTGAACAATAAGCAACTTTAAACGAGTTGACTCTTCCACCCACTATAAGTGGACAAATGTTTAATTCAGATGTTATTTGTATATTTGTTTCATCATCTTCAAATGTCATGAATTGATTCAACAGTAAGAGTGTCATAATGGACTATATCAGGGATGACGAACCTTTTTCAATGAATGGGTCAAAAATTACATTTTTATTGTGGTAAAGAAGAATGTGGGTCATACATATTTAATCAAAGTTTGCATCGATGAGTAACTCGGGATTGCATCTTTCTAACAATGTTTGTAAATATTTGGTTGGTATTAGGTAGCCTTGAGCTTTACATCCAGCGCTTGTAATAGGACTAATGCGGTTTCTGATAATCGACTTTCTGAAATTCAACTGTGAAAACAAGGATTTCCAAGCATACTATTCATAATGCTAGGACAAATTCTGCAAATATTCTGCTCCATTGTTTTTCCGATTTCTGTACTCGTTAATTTAAATCAATAGGATTTTGTTTTCCAACTGCAAAGTAGAAACTAGTTCTGATATACCTTCACAAAATATTAGGCGACCCCCTTGGTTTATCCACCTCCGAAAGGGAACCGCTGTTACAAGACGAGTTGAGAGAAATAAGCAAATCCATTGTATTGTTATGTCATAAAATTGTGACGGCATTGTTGCCAATAGCTGCACGCCGGTACAATATAGTAGTTCACTTATTTCTAGGTTGAATTAAAGCCGACTTTTTATCACTGTAATTTTAGTTTGATTAGTGACTTGGTGGGTCACCGAAAAAACTGTCGCTAACTTTGTTACCCGTGGGTCAGTGGTTCGCCATCCCTGGACTATATGGTACTGTAATACAGTAATAATTGATATTGGTAATGCAGTAATGAAGCACTCAGTACCCATATAGTGGCTATGGTCAGCAAGTAATGGTACATGAGTTGTCATGACAGTGTGAATCAGTGGCAGAGTTGTAGTATAAACCAACAAATACTATATTATAGACACTCGCAAACTGCCCAAATTCCAATTGTCAGATTCCAGTCGATCAATCTTAATTTGAGCTTTGGTCTTAACCAGGGGTCACCAAACTTTTTTGACCGCGGGCCGGGTATGACTCAAATTGTGTTGAAACGGGCCGGATGAATATTTTTGTCAATGCAATACAATAAATTCACAAATGTTGGGAATATCGCAGATTATAGATCGAGAACATCCTAGGAAAAAAAAATTAACAAGATTTCTATATCTAGACAACTATCCTGAGTTTAGCTGTTATCAAAACGTTACTGTCATGAATTAGAATTGTTACAAAATCCGCGTCAAAAAATGTACGCATCACGTCTGCTAAGTACCGTTACGCCGTGTTGAAATACCGCTCATAAAAACGACTGCCTGCTGTAGCTTGGAATTCTATGAAATTTTGACATAATTTAGATAAAATAAACAACTATTATCTGGTATTTGAATTTTTTCATTAGCGCATAGATTTCCCAACATTCGACGCTTTTAAAAATTATGCTCCAGTTATACGTAGTGCAAATTAATGATATTGTCTATGGACACCAATAAAATTTATATGGACGTGTGTATTTCTTGTCTAATTTGATACTTACCAATTTTTATGAAGTTCGTACAATCGGAACATCGTTAATTATTACCCACAATGAACCACTGTCAAACTATCATGCACAACTCCAGTGTTTATTTGCGACGATCTTTCGGCGGTGTCAATGACCGTTGCCAGAATAAAATCCTGAAATAGTCTCAATATACCATAGATGTGACGCACATCGAAAGATTAGTGATTGATATGTGTTATTTTTCCATATTTAGTACAGTTCTTATCAAAAAAGTAATACAATCATTATGGAAAAAATTGGCTGTCGGGCGGTACTAAAATTCCGATATCTCCGTTATTTCTTGACCGTTTATTCCAAACAAGGTATTGTTTTCTATTTTTACTCAGATCTTTCCACTGGAGCAGTTTTTATTCAAATCGGACGAACTTCAATTTCTTTGTAACATACCTACATGAATATCCGCATTAAAGCAGTACAAAAGTTAGTGTGGCTTTTGAAATTGGAGCAGTACGTGAGGGATTACAGTACTGTTAGCACAAAATGCGCATTCGACGTTTATTTTAGCACGAAAAACAAACAGTTTCGTCGAAAGCAAGCGCCACGAGTGTACAAGTGTATCGCAGAAAACTTTACGTACTGGTAGCATTCAAAGTCGCAAAAACGAAGTTTTGTTTACAACCACGACTGAAAATCTGTCAGGGTGACAAAAGTGTCTGAGCGGATGCGGAAAGGCCTATTATTACGTCAATTTTCTGCATCTTGCCGATTGGCCAATGTTACGAAATAAACAAGGAAGACGATGCTCGTGAAAATCTTCCTTGGAAAAAAATTTAGCCATTTTTGCGTGTTATTGCGGACCGGATAAAATGACGCCGCGGGCCGGATAAAATGACGTCGTAGTTTGGTGACCCCTGGTCTTAACGAATAAACATTTCAAATGGTGAATTTCAACTAAAAAGTTTTTTCAAATCATATAAACATTATAAGTTTCAACTCCTAATCAACAATTCAAAAATATGAGAATGAAAAAAAATTATTTACACACCAAACAAGAATAGGATTAGACGTTATTTTATACCGGGGAGAAGTCGATAACAAGGTATAATCATATGACATACCATGATCTACGTCCGGTTACCAGTCCATGTCAGGTACCATGTGAAAAAAGTTACCTAGTTTGTTTCAGATGCATGAACTTTATGGTGGAAGAAGCCGTAATCGACCAGCAGCTCCCTATGGCTGTATGGCGATGAGAAGTCCAGCAATCCTCCCACACATAATTATCCCCATGGGATTTAAACCTTCAAACACACACTGGGTGCATCGATGATTATGCCACAGTGAAGCAATAAAAAGGACATATTTTATACCAGTGCTCTTCTATTATAACAATAAGGATATATAGATTTATGAAAAACTATGACAAAAAGTCCTTCAAATCAAGGGGGATTCCTGCATTTGCACATTTAAACTTAGAAAAGTGCGTATAAGTATCGTTACCTATTCTAAAACCAGCATACCAGCATACAGGCATAACAGACAGAAAATAATCTAAAGAAAATGAATAAGAACTGATTATAGAATTTAGATAACTAGCAAAGCCTTAGGGTTTATTAAAAAAATGATTGATAAATACAGAATGTGGTACATGTTCACTCACCTAAAAATAAAATAACTTCACACACACTCCACTCACACAAACATGAAACCATAGACAGACAGAGATAACATATAATGGAATTTAAAAAAACATAGCAAACTAAGGACAAATTAATTTGTAAACAAAAAATCAAATCAATATGCAATCAAATACTGAAATACTAAATACTTGTATGTATGTATGTTTATTCGTCTCGTAAAAGCAAAAACACAGGAGTTAGTAAATATCAGCATTGAAAAGACGGGATGTATACACAGGGTTGCCATACCGTGCTTATTTCTAAGATTAGTGCTTATTTTCTAGCGCTGTAGCGTGTGTCTTATAAAGTAACGATGTGCTTATTTCTAAGAAAAGTGCTTATTTTTGAGTTACGTGCTTATTTTGTCTTAGAAACATGGATGACTTGTTCATGTCTTGCGAACAAAGCTTCCGTAGAAATGAGGGACGACGTATTTTTATTATACGCAACGCGTTTAATATAAAATTATCATTTTGGGTTAGATGGCTGCGCATCTCATTGAATATGCGCGGACGCCCTTTGGGTTGTTGTTTCCTGTGCAAGATGTTGAATGCTGGATGTTTATTGTGTGTACCTGCCTATTTTTCTGTATCTTCTTACATTTTAGAGGTTGCGTGTGGCCGTTATTTAATGGTTTTTCATGGCCTTGCGCGATTTCTGGTCTGCATGCAACCTTGTTCGAAGCGACTTCTAATAGTAAAAGGTTGGAGTGCGGAAGAGACTTGTGTATGATTCCTTTCACATTTTTAAACCGCCTTTCTGCCGTTGTTAAGTACCCCCCAAAATAAACTTTAGACACCAGTGCTTATTTTTGGCTCTAGGCCGATGGCAACCCTGTGTATACACAAGACCATACCGGTACTGGCCTAAAACACATGAACGTGCGGCATACACAGATCAAACGTCAAGGAAAGGCGTGACGTTGCTGGCCAGCCATAACACTGTAACAGCAAATGGTCAAACCCATAATAGCAGTAATAGTCACTCTGGTCAACAAACTATTCTGTTAACTATGAACAAACCCCTCCTGAAGTCCTGAAACTTTTCTCCGTTGTGTTTATGTGACGTCATCGTGATTGAAGGTTGGGCTATGTTTCTTCGGCTCGACTACTGACTGCATGGTTGGTGGGGATTTCGTGAGTGAATTTAAAATTTTGTGATCGGGTTTTTACTTTTCTAATCTGGGAGTTATTTAGAATTAAAAAAAACTTGAACAGCTAACACATATAAACTATTAGTACACATATTCATATTTGTAATATGGGCGCCTAAATAGGAGCGCATCAAGACTACCATCGTGAATGTTTCTAAATCCCCAAAATTCTTTTAGTTAACCATCGCGAATTATTATGATTATTTCGATAGTAATTTCGCGAGTTTTGCAACTGTTCCATATCTGTCATTTTGATCTAAAATATGTAATCACGTGTCATCTAAAAGACTGATAGATATAATATGGCTAATGAGGCGAATATGAAAGTAAAATTTAACGAAACTTAGGATAGAATAGGATTTACATATTTATCCCAAGGGAGGGGAAAGCCGATAAGACGGCTCAACCATATGGCGAACCACGGTCTCTCGTCCGGTCACCATTCCATGTCGAGGATGTGATAAATTAGTTATTTGTTTTCGAAAGCATGGACTTGATGGTGGAGGAAACAGTAACCGACCAGCGGTTACGTGAACCACCCTACGGCGGCGAGAAGTCTATCAATCCTCTCGCACATAACCACCCCGCATGGAACTCGAACCTGCGAACCCACGCAGAGTAATCAGAGGTGCGGTGGCGAGCGTACTCCTAACGCTTAGCACGATGTACAACTGTACAGAAAGCGCTAGCCTTTTGAAAATCAGCCGACACATACTGATGAACAACCGCGATGCCGCAGTCTCGAATTTTGAAATATGGATTATTAGGGATGTTTTCGAGATTTCGGCAATGGAGCTTCAAACGCATTTGGGGAATAAAATCAAAAAGTCAATTTTATGTTTGAAAAGTGCATAAATTTACGATTTTTCACCTATGACGATATAGGCGAAATAGGCTTTTTTCAGCAATGGATTACACATAATTTTAAAATTTTGTACCCATCGACTCAAATTGTATTGTGTAGAGTGTATGAATCTTTTTTATATCAATCAATAAAATCTCGCCCCTCTTGGGCGGAAAGACATGTGAGT